GTCGATAGAAAAATCCAAACTTCTCATTTCTATTCAGCTTGTTTTGACACGTTTGTGGATAAATCACAGTTCAACCATGAGACGTCAACTGACTCGTTAGCACGGAGCTCTTTGCGTATTGATTAATATTCTTCATGTCTATGTCAATGTATTTTTTTAGATTTATATTATTAATGAGGTGGCTGAATGGAAACACTAGTGTTTTCTTTGAAGTGAAAATCCCAAAACATGAAAATCCGTGTGTATTTTTCTAGATTGCATCTTATTCATCATTTAGTTGTTTTGTCTTTAAGCTTTGTCAAGTAACTCAACTCTCACAGTAAAGGTCTGCCTCAAGTCTCACGACTATAAACACATTAACAATAATAGCAATGTGTTTTCACTGGCCCATTAAGAATCACTGGGAAATAATACCGTAGGTTTAGATCAGGATCCATTTGCATCTAACCTGCTTACTTGTTGATGGATGCCTCCACCTCCAACGGGTCCCCGGGGAGCTGATGTGAGATACGTGTCCATTCAGTGTACACAAACCATCAGGTCCGCATTGAAGGTTCAACAAATGGAAGTACGTAGCTGCCTAGCACGCGCAGACGAGCGGCTCCAGAACCAATGTGGATAAGGTAAGAGGCTATTTACGCTCCCGGGTTGGTCGGATTTTGTCGTTATGTAAAGACATGGCATCAGCAATGGAAGCGGAGAAGCATGTCGTCCTTAAAGTCTGTTTTTCTTGAGATGGTCCCCATAGTCATTGCATCTCAAAAGCATGCTGTATCTTAACTAGACATCCAATGAATGTTTCACCCTTGTTATTCTTTTAGTTAGTTATTGATTTATGCTCTTGAGAGAGGAAAAAAATGGCCATGAGAGGAATCCTGTTGTGTTCATGTACAAGCCAATACAATTATTAAGGCTAGTCTCATACTTACAGAAAATCTGATTTGCAGGGCAATTTACTGTGGAAAACCTTTTTTCTAAAAGTCCATAGTGAAAGGAACTATTTGGTATGAAAGGACAGAAAAATATTATTGTCTTGTGTTCGAATTTAATACGATGTGTGTCCTTCAAATGAGTATTTTTCCTTCAAAAACACAGAGTTTAAGGGGGGCAACAGTGAATGGTTGGTAGCCGAGCAGAAAGAAGCTTCACATCCTCTTTTACCGCAGAGCTGGTTTGTGAGTGACACGCATAGCAACCATTGGTTTTGACAAAGAGCATCCGAAAGGCCACAGAAAGAGCAGGGACATGGAAAACGGATGGAAACAGTGGGAGACAAGGGACAAGAAAGAAGGCGGGTCAAAGAACATCACAGAAGAGTGAACGCGCTCCGATCCCTGCGGGGGGGGAACGGCGCCCAGGTCGAACGGGGGAACGACGACTCAAAGGAAGGAGAACCAGAGAACCTTGTGCTGGTCGTGGTATGTGTGGGTTTAGCAACGCTGACAATTACAGTGAGCGAAATGAGAATAAGAGCACAGAAAAAAATACCTGTGGGCATGTGTGTGTGTGTGTGTGTGGTTTGACACTGAGCACGCACAGCTGTCAACGCACACGTTCTGATAACACCCTGAAAAGAGAGCTGTGTAAAACAAACAAGCACCATTTCCGTAAAGCCGCGCAGTGAACCGTGCAGACACGCCGTCCACACTGAAATCCAATGGGTTTTATTCTGTGACCTTGAAGAATTAGGCCGTGTTTGTGCACTGCGTGGCTGCATGGCTTCCCGCAGCAAAACTCCAATTCCATTGTTTGGAAAAGTACCATTCAAATACGCAAATGGGTCAAATTTGTTCCACATAAATCCAGTTGTATTGCAACAAAGAGGGCATTGTTTGCTGCAAATATTAACTGAATCTAATGAGTTCACACCTCCAGTCCATTGCCAGTTGAAGGTGCAAGCGTGTTACTTTATCCACCTGATTTGTTAGATTACAAGATTTAAGATATCATCGTTATCCAATGTAATTATTACGTTTGTAAAAGAGCCATAAGAGCAAAAATAATTGTGTGTAAGCAGTGGTCCAAAATTAGCAAGAAGCTCCACCTGCCTTCATAATGTTTGACTCTATTAACCGGTGGTTTTGTTTCCACATTAAAGACTTCACTTGCAGTTTAAAAGAACGGGATGTATTCGGGGATGTTGGCCAAATAATAGACCCCTGTTCTCTGATATTAAATATAAGCAAGGCTGCAACCAGCTAAAGACAATTGTTATGGCATCAGAGAGCACACCAATATATTCCTGTGATGGTACAACAGTAACTTGTAATAACTGCCACTACATAAGGCGACCTGATGGACTAAAACTGTGTACCAAGTTAAAAAAGAAAAGCAATTTTTTTTAGATGACAAAGTGTTAAGAACGAATGAGTCAGGGCGAGATAGTCTGTGATTTTGCAGAAGTCTATGAAAGAAGGTGAGCTGAAAGGGAAGATAATAGTCAAAAGGGAGAAGCTGATTAGAGTCTTGCACAGAATACAATCCACCTTCAACAATAATTGGAATTTATTTTCCAAATAGCTTCTTTGAATTGTTTGCTTTTCATGTGGTGCAGGGGCGTCATACTTAATTATAGCACTCCCCAACATCTCTCTATTGTCCAACGGCTGATTATTTCCTCATTTTCTATCCTTCTTTTCCTCCTCCCTCGCCACAATACTTCATTTACTTCCCTTTTCTCTGTAATTACTCATGACTTTATATTATGTTTTCCTCTTCTCACCCTGTTCCTCATTATTGTTATTTTCTCTTGACGTTTTTTCCAACAATTTTCTTTCTCTTACCCTCCTAACCTACCGTCTGACCACCTAACATCCCCCCTTTCCATTCAACTAGCTTTTAAAAATTCTCTCAGTTCACCTTTAGTTACTTGTGGTCTCTGTGGGGCCGTTCCTCATTTCAGTCCTGACAAAGGTTTACTAGGAGTCATATTGTTCCGTGGTTCAATGGTCGGACTGACCCTCCTGCATCAACTTCAAAACAATCAGCGAGACGAGGAGGAACGCAAACTAAACCGAGCAGAAATACAACAGAAATTGCGGAGACAAATTTGCCTCGCTCTCGTCCCAGGAGGCAACACGAATGAGAGACGGGGAGGAGACACAATATGTTCTGACGACTGCTGCTGGAGGAAGCAACGACAAAATGGGAATGATATCACGGTGGCCTAAAGGACATGTCCCATTCTCAGCGCTACCGTCACCGTGTCTTTCCCCTGGACTGACGAGTCTTGCCCTCGGCTGCTCCCACCACCATTAGCCGATCATCATTAGCCCAGCATTAAGCGGTCTAACGAGACCTAATGTCCAGCTCATTGAGATAAACCTGTCACTATGGCGGCTCTTCAAATGTTGTCTTACGTGACTAAAATGATCCTTTATTGCAAAGGAACAGCCTGTGGGCTTCAGGTCTGCATTGTTCAGCACGATTATGGCTGAAAACGGTAACATTCCCCACGAGGGACTCCTTCGTAGTTGTGGTTAAATCCAAGCAAATTTGAGGTTGATGCTTATGTTATGAGGGGCTGCTTTGTGTCTCAGCAAATCCCAGAGTCCCCAAACTGTGCCGTCGTCCAATGAGGTGAAAGGAAAAAAGGTTTTAAGGGTCCCATATCAACCACTTTAAATGTAATAATGTATGAAGGTAGTTTGTATAGCTGCTGCTAAGAGGCCAAATAAAATGATGTGTTGCTGTTTGAGGTCATGGCAGAGTAAAAACGAATCCTTTACAATGATAAATCCTAAGTCGTATTAAAAACGTACTCCTGTACTAAGTAGTGTAAGTAAAGCGACTTCACATTTGACAGTCGTTCAGTTACTTTACTTTGTTACATTAATCTCTGTGAGTCATGAAATAAACTTAAATTAGTGCCTAACACTTTCTCGTTTTGGACTATTCAAAATACTGCAGTGACAACCACAAACCTGTCCTCTAGTAACACTCACTAAAAGCTGGTTCTGAAGAACATGTAGTTCGTTGTGACAAACATTTGTTTTTCATCACAGCTCCTGCTACATTTGAAAGTGCTGCATGAAGACGGCCTTGGTTGAGTTTCCATTAGCAGCTGCAAAGAACGCGATCCATTGAAAGAGAATTCAATTCATTTAAAGCATGAAAACAATTGAGGTCTTTCTATCCTCTGAGGAGAGAAGTGACAGTCAACAAGAGAGCGAGAGAGGCTAAGAAGCGGGAACCCTTCTGCTTCTCGCATGCTCGTCTGCCAGCGAGAAGCAGCTTCATTACGTAACAGTCGCAGGACTTGGCAGCTCACATGCTTTTTAAGGATGAAGCACATGCTCCTTTTCCACCTGAAATCTCGCGGCAGGTTGGGAGAAGATGGAGACGAGGTGGACGCTTGAGAGCAGCTGCGGATTTAATGAGAGACAAGACAGGGGAAAACGTGAGACACGGGGTGTGTGTGGTGCAGAAAGCAGGCTGTGACGGATGCACCGTGAGGTAATTAATGTGAGCCTGGAGGGTAAGTCGGGGTTTTAGGGACGCGTGCTTGTGGAATATAAGTGAAGACAGTTGTACTTCTTCATTGTCTTAAACAAGGGCTCTGATGCCAAGTGTGTCGTACTTCAACACAACAGCCAACAGCATTGGTTGTTCCGTAAGACTCCACTGCTGACAGGAAATATGCCAACGCGCTTTGGTTAAGCGATCGTGATATTCATCAAACTCAAGTAGAGTCAGTAATCAACAAATTGGTGGACGGACATTTACAACCCCGAGAGCCAACAAATGAATAAAAGATGGACTCCGAATTGAAGTGAGATACAAGGCCTCTTGTCATATATAAATACATATAAATATATATTGCTGAGCAATGTCTCATTTTTCTTTTAAAATGTTCTTTTATCTATCTGGTGAAATGTTAAGTGTACACACATCACATATAGTGTTACAACAGAAAGGTGATTCTGATATTAGCGCCTCGTCATTCCCACTTTGACTACCTGCGATTTCAAACTGTGCACAAAAAACGTAAAGGACACACATTTCAGTTGTTTTCTTTTTATTTAAAGACTAATGCAGAGAATCAGATTCTACAGGGCCATATCATAACCGAAAGAAACAAAATAAAACATTTACAGGAGGTTCGTCATTTCCCAGTATCATTGGACTATCAACACATTCCTGCGTGTGTGTGTGTGTCTGTGTGTGTCTATGTGTGTTAAGTGTGTCATTTGAACGTGTGTTTCTCAATGTCCGTATGTAGACAGTCTCACTCTAGTTTGTCTTTCCTTATTCAACTTTTGTGCTTTAGAAAATTAGTTTTTTTTTTTTTACATTTCAGTGAAAATCAGAACATATGTTGCTTGATAAAAATACAAGAAAAACTCCAGTAGGTATCTAGGAATAACCAAAGACTCAATGTTGAAAAGCAAGTGCTGCTGAGAACTGCCATGGAACTCGCATCAAACATAATGAAAGAAATACCAGATGTGCCTACAGATGTGATATTTACATGTACGCATACCTGCATATGAACGTGAGGGTAAAAGCTGGAAGCTCATGATTGCACTGTGCCTCATATTTCACATTCTCTCTCCGGAGCATCAAACGTAACGAAACCAGACCTGGCTCAAAAACACACATCTGTAACGGTCCGGAGCATTTGGTTGATCCTGCTCGGAGTACAAGAAAGGGGCTTAAGCAAAGATTTTTCCCGACTGAAAAGTTTACAAAATTCACTTACTCTCGCAAAGTCAAACTCTCTCACCCTGTAATATCGTAAAGCTTTGGAGAGCAAAAGATAACCAGAACCGTCCACTTAGCAAAGGGACCTCTTCACCTGCCTCCATTTTTGTAATGACAAACAAGCTCAAGAAATGAACAGAATATCGTTAAGTTGATCTTGTTACAGTTTTGCTCCTGGTTATTTTAGTCTGATCACTTTATTGCATGTCTCTGGAGAAAAAGTGCAATCAAAAAATAAAAAGCCGTTTTCCCTTCAACCACAAAGCGCCAACAAAAGAGATGTTCCACTGTTTTCTTCCACGTCACCCTGTGCGGCCGTGGTTTATACAAGAAAAAGAAAAAAAGCTAGCAGTTGAGCAGCTGGTGTGAAAGCTAAGCTTATTTTTATTTCCTTTTTTTTTTGTTCATAATAGCTTGTAAATCTGCAACACAATGGGCAGGGAGAGAAGGTGGATGATGGGGTTCGAAGCTGTCCTTGCATAGCACAAAGCTGACTACAGAAATGTAATGTTATTGTTTCTCTAAATGTGCAAAATGCATAACAATAGTTGATATACAAACAATATTCATCATCATCTTAGCTAGTAACTTCATTAATAGAATCAAATACTGTATGCATTATGTATTTTACATATGTATATATAGCTTTTTTCTTCATGATAATAAACATAAATACACTAGTTTAGAATTCAAATATCTTTATACAACCCTTCTTCCTGAACTCTGCAGTTCCGTGAGCCTCTGCCTTTAGTTTAAGTGGCTGTTAACGGTAGACCTGCAAAGAGGTATGCCGTCAGGGGATCGGTTCAGCGTTGGTCATAATGATGATGCAAATCATAAAAAATTAGCAACAACCAGAGGGGGGGGGCCTCTTTATCGCATTCCTCTGGCGGTAGCGTGATCCCTTCACCACTGCGCTCAGAGAGTTCTGCAGGATTCTTACATGTCATATAACCCGTTCAGCGTCCTGTAAAACATATTAAAAAAAAAAAAAGCACACCCACAATGACACAACACAACACACCCCAACCAGAAATGTGGAGTTTTGTGAAACAAGTAGTGTGGGAACCCGAAGGCTCCGTAAGCCGGGCTGGAAACGGCGAAAGATCTTATCTTTGACCAAAATCGAGAAGACAAACCCAAGTGGAGAGGGGTCAGTGTAAAGCTACAACGGATATCCGCCCCAGACTGTCGTGTTCAGGTCCTAAGAAAAGCCCTTGCTAATTAATATTGCTACATTAACGTAATCTAACATGGACTGTTGTGAAACCTCAATGTTGCCACATCAGAGAAGAAGCATCTACTTCAAATGTGTGTGTGTGTTTTTTAATAAGTTAAAAGAAAAAAAAGAGCAAGCAATGTTTCAAGACAAAACAGAAGCATTCGTTTCACATTTGCGTCAGTTTTCTGTTCTTTTTCTCGGAAGAGGGATTGACATCATGCTACAAAAATATATTAATCTGCGTGGCTATCGTGGAACCACGAGACGAGTCCTCTGTGAGAAACGCAATGCCGGCTAAAGTAAGATTTACAGTGCCACTTCCACTCACCGTCGCCTTCCTGTCTTTTGTCTCTTTCTGTCCCTGTCCCTGTCTCTGTCTCCGTCGCTGTTGCTCACCAATAGCAACCAATGAGTCCAAACGGGCGTGTGATACTGAAGGCAGTGTAGCTGGTACTTTCTGAGTGTTATGTCTCAATTCTTTTATAACTGAAAGGAGATGGGGGACTAAACGGGGTCGGGGGGGAGGGACACGGTGGGAAGGACGATGTCCTCCTTCTTAATGTGCCCCGGCTGCCGTTAAGCGATGCCTACTGGACTTTGCTATGAACGGCATTTTGGCCCCACCAGAAATAGAGTAAACAAAAGAAAGTGTGGTTCAATTCTAAATGTCGGATGCGCTCCAGGATTTAAGAGGGTGTTTTACAATCTTACTCACGACCAACTGATCTCAGATTACACCGTTGATGTTTTTGTGGCCGTCAGTGTGTACACAAACACACAAATTGGATAATATTTTACTTCAGTGGGAAAGCAGCTTTGAATGGAACGCGAACAGTCACTTAAGCGTGAATTAGACCGGCATATACTCTTTTTATAGTGTCGTGAACCAAAGCAAATAACTGATTAAATAAAAAAAAGTTATCTTCTCCATGTATTCAATAAACATACCCTTTAGTTACACTTTGCAAAGCTTAAACATAATATTGACATCTCTAACTCTTGATAATATTTACAATTATGTGAAACAAAAATAATATTTTTAGCACATTATGACTGCATTTTTTTTAAATATTGTATTCCTAAATAAATGGTGTGAGACATGTTTTATTGCTATTGCAGAAACCCTAAAGTATTTTCAAAATGACGTAATTAATCTCGCAAAACATCTACAAAGAATTCAAACTTGAACAGAGAATGAGCGTAGCATTGATGCTGCTGATATCAAATAAACTAAGCTATGTGTGGTCAGTGTATCTTGATTAATAAATAAACACATAAGAAGATGCCCTGCTCATGCATATACACAAGTGCCTTTTTACCGTGTCTGTGATTCCATTTTTAAATAAAAGAAAAAATAAATAAATAAGAAAACAAACATAGAAATAAAAGCCCACCAACAGGTTTGGGCAATGTAGAGTTGTAGAATAGCATTCTCTTGGCTATATATTTATAGTAGCATTTTCTTAGTAGCATCACCCAAGACCTGAACAACATCCTTTCAAAAGTCTGTATAGCTAACTTTATTTTTTTTCTCTATTTAGTTTTTTCAAAATCTTCAAACTTTTAGATAAACATAGAAGCAATGCAACAACTGGGAGTTCAAACTAGCATGGACACCATGTTTGTCTAAAAAAAGAAAATAAACAAGAGGCATATGAAAATAAATGAAAAAAAAAAATTAGACAAGTATAATATTAAAGGAATGAAATGTAGGATTAGTGTGGACCCATCCCCTGCAACTTGGGCTTCTTATTCAAGTAGGTTGCCCAGTAGACCAAGTTAAAGGTTCCAAAGAGCAGCGGGAAGGCTATTCTGGCAATCCTGTCTATCTTGCTCACGCTGTTAAAGGTCTTCTTGGCCTCTGGAGGTTTGGGCTTCGGCTCCTCCTTAGGCTCAGTCGGGGGTGCCGGGGCGCTTTTGGCAATAGTGGCCAATCCAGGGTCTCTGGCGATATTGGGGGCGAAGGCCGTAGCAGTGGCAGCTGGGTAGGCAGTGGTGTTGTTCTTCTTGAGGAGGGACTCCTTCTTCTTCTTTTGCTGATGCCGTTCGTTGGGGGGGGGGGGGGGGGGGGCATTGGGAAAATTCAAAATGAAGGTCAGGATTTTGATGTGTTTTACATGTTTTGCGCTGTCAAGGATGTGAACATGTGATTTATCAATTCCTCACGTCAACCTATTTCCAGACAGAAGCGATACATCTAACTGTTACATTTGGCCTCTCTAAGTTAATATCTTTTTTTAAAGGGGGAGATCACAGAGCACGGTTGCCTCCTGCTAACGGCGGCGTTGAGACAAGACGAGAAAACAAGATGAACATTAAACTATTAATGTCCGTGTCATGTTCCTCAAACTGCAAACGTGGTGTTCCCTGCCAGGCGCAGCTCCCTCAACGGTTAAGCGCTAACTGTCCCGGGCTCGCTCCTCGCCGTGACGCAAGGATTTCCCCCTCATTTTGCTTTTGATGAAACAAGGGACGGAACAAAAACTGGAGAAAAAAAAAAAACGCCTAACGGACATCTATTTGTTTCTATGCAAATCTCGTGAATTAGAAGTATTACTGAGAAAACGCTTCAAGTACCTTTTCTGGCACAACACTTTTTCCATCCCAGGCGTAGCCCCTCTTGGTGAAGTAGTTGACTGTGGCAAACTCGATGAGGGCTGAGAAGACGAAGGCGTAGCAGACGGCGATGAACCAGTCCATGGCCGTGGCGTAGGCCACCTTAGGGAGGGAGTTCCTGGCACTGATACTGAGAGTGGTCATGGTCAGGACAGTGGTCACTCCTGCAGGGAGACAAGACGAGACAGCTGGTAAAATGTATGAAAAGAAAATGTGTGTGTGTTTTCAGAAGGATTCAACACTGTCAAATAGATTTAAAAACAGCACCATCATCAATCTCTGAATTTGTTGTTAACCTAAATTAATTCTGCAGCATAAGAAGGTCTACATTTGCTAAAATTTAGCAATACACGCTGGCATCGTGTAGGGAATTGTAGGCAGAGCAAGTCTTCTAATATCAAATGGGCGAGCGGTCCACATTAATCGATGTGAGCAGAGTCTTGTAGCTCCTGCTTAGACTGCGAGAGGTTTCCACATGTGCTGCTGGAAGATCCAGCTGTTGGCTGATACCAAGCCTTCTATCTCAATCTGAATCCGCACACCAACGCTAAAGCAGTGATCAAGAAATGGAAAAAAGCACTAATTAATGCAGTTGCAGCTTTTTAGCGCCAATGTGCCTCTTATTAAGGGGCCCATGTCAAATCGCTAAGCCACGACAGAGAGAGCGAGAGGAACTGGGTCACAGCGTCTCTATCGATGCGCAGAAAAGACTATTGCAGATGTTTACACACCAATTAACAGCAACCCGTGCAACAAACCATCAACCAATTCAGCCGGGGCCACCACGAAGGGATTTGAGGCACAGCTGGCTTGTTGAGGAGTTATAAAATATGCAGAGAGGATCCGCCCGCACGTGTGGCGAGAGGTGTTTACATAGAAACATATGTGTGCAGTTATATGATACTGCCATGTACACACTTCCGTGTTTGAATGAGCCACCCTGTGAGTTTCATTTCAAATTTAAGATACGAAAATACAAAAAAAGTCAGTGCTGGCATCTGTCCGCCACCCCTCGGGCCAGTTGACTTCTTATGATTGTCATTATGTTTAAGGCTTCCTTCATATGGACTAATGGTGATAAACAGCAAATTACAAAGGCCCTTAATAAAGATGCTCAATTGATTCTGGAGTTGTGAATTCTTCTTCCCCGTGAGTGATGAATCACAGACTCCTCCTCCTCCCACTCTCTTTTTACATGATTTTGGCTTTACTGAGTTAGTGCCGCCACATGAGGAATAAAGGCTTTTGTTCCCATTAGTCAGAGCATAAAAACGTATTGTTTATTAGCCAGAACTGAATATAACACCTCTAATTGATTAACTGAATAGGTAGAGTTGGTACACATTTATGCTATTCATCAGGGCTCCAAAGGGGAATAACAGTAATAAATAATATAATATGTATCAGAAAAGTACTTGTTCTGAGGTCATACATTGACAAATTGTATTTGTATTTACATACTCAGATATGAGGTGCACAATACTTTTATGTGATGTCATAATAAAAACCCCTATCACCATGTTGTGCACTTAGCAGGACATGGTGATAGGGGGCAGCATGGTTCGTTGACATGTTATGGGAATGCATCGCTGCAGAAGATGTAAAAACATTACATGATGCTTCGAAACATAGGATTTTCTTATTATTTAGGTCTACTCGGGAATCATTCAGGGTACTGGTTGGTTGATTAATTAAAAATGTGACTCTGGAGCGTTTTAAATGACTCCATTTGACATGTGAGGGTGTTAATGAACAAAATCAATTGATCCAGAATGTTAGAGCTGCATTAATAGTGGTGTCAATTTAGCTCAGTGTATCGACACAGTGACTGACTCTTGATTTATATGATACAACTCTTATAATACGTTTTTTGCCACTGTTTGCAGACTGTCATTTAAATACACGCAGGGTTACAGGGAAGGAGAAGTCAAGTTTGAAATTACTAAACGCAGGCAGACAAGGTGAAGCTTGTACATTTTTCATTGCGCTTTAATGCAAACCTTGTTGAAATTAAATTTAATGTCTATCAGGGTAATGAGTCCGATAGACATTTGGTGCTCCACTGCCTGTGAGGGGCTGCAGATTAAAAAACAAATTGCTTTGTATAATGTTAAACCATTTGTAGAGATGGTTAATAATACAGGGAAGTTTCAAACCATTTTTCATACTCCATCAACCAGACCCGAGGGGGTGGAGCTGTCTTTATTGAATCAATATCTCCACTGTGCTGCAGCTACTTACGTCTTCATGCCTTATCAATAACTGAAGCAGCGGGGGGGCCTGACGCACAAACACATTCCATTCAGCATCACTACGTCACCTCGGATTTGCATGAACAAAGAAATAAATTGACACGTCGATTGGTGGCTGAGTAGAGTGACTGTGCACACACACACACACTCACATGCATACAGGAGCTGCACCGCCTACAATGTTGTCAGCTGGTAATCGTGAATTGACGAGGACCGACTGGCACACGAGCAGCACGTGCACGTATATAGCGAACAAATACACACAAGCGCAGACCCCCCGCACACACCCAAGGTGTTGTTCCCTAACGAGCAGGTACGTTAAACAGCGTCATGGGGGAACCAATAAATAGGCGGCCAATTGCTTAAAGAGACGAGAAGGAAGCAAGATAATCTTCTGAGCACTGCTGTCCCCGACAGCTTAGCGACAGAGAGACGAGGGAGGGAGGGAGAGAGGGAGGGAGAGAGAGGGAGACCCATATCAGCACCATCAGTGACGGTTTCCTTTTGGTTTTCATTTGGACTGCGAATGAATACATTGCCAACAGTTTTCCACTACAGCAATCTGGCTACGCACTAATCAGCCTCCTATTCCGCACAGTGATAAATAAGATAAGTCTTCCCACTGCTGGGTTTTTTAAATTGCCAATTCATCTACTGAGGAAGCTCTGTAGCTCAGGATTTAGTGAAGAGCTGTGCTTCATAGTCATAATGTGATTTAAACAGGGACTTTGGTTTGTTCGTTTTTATCACCTGGTTCGATAATAAGAGTACAAACATACCATATCAGTAGTTTATTATCTTCAGTTTCTATTGCATTCAGCGCGCGTGCATATTTGATACGTAATGATTCTGTTCTGGTATTAAACACAGAGAGGTCGAGGTGGGAATCAGTGTCTGCTGGAGGGTTAGGGTTCGATTGATCGGTTTTACAGGTGGCATAAGGGACTTCAAAACGTTGCCGTTGAAGATCTAATGAGTGACCACTGTGACCTTGTCAGCTATTAGCCTTTGCATTAACGGCGAGTGCATCCAATTTAGACTTCTGACAAGTTAAAAATGTAAAAATAAGATTTGAATGTCCGTATGAAGTGTGTCTCTGAAAGGGTCTTCAAACCACGGCATAATCAAGTATAATTTGTGTCTGTCAGCACTCTGTTCCCTTCAAGCCGACACCCGTCTGCATCACATCACATGCATTGGATGTTTAAAGCACCATTTACGAGGCCGGCTCTGTAAATAAGCGTCGTTCACGCCCGTATCAAGTCGCAACGAGACAAATGGAACCAGACTTGCTAATGGACCAATTTCCTGCCAGCAAACATGACAAGCAGGAACTTAACCTTTTTCTGACATGAACATATTATCAATGGGCTTGCATTGAGCTTGTTATTTAGGTTGCGTTTTGGCTATGATTCACCATAACATATAAACTAAATATCCAACCTTCTGGGTGAAGATAGCGGCGTAAACTCTTCCATCTTAATGCCACTAAAAACATGTACAATGGTTTAATATACCACATAAATCTCTCGATTTAGAAGATATCCAACGGAGTAAGTCAATGAAATACGCTAATTGTCGACTATGTCTTTTTAACGATGCATTTACAGCGATATTGACATGGTAACAGCCCCATTCATCTGTGGTCTCAGGTGATGCACATTAATCACATGAACGACCTACCTACCATACCTTGATGCAGTGCAGCTCTGCGTCTTCATGAAAGCGCGTGCACGTGCCTACTCGACCGAGATTGTGTGCGTGCGTGCGTGTGGGTGTGTGTCTGTGCACTGCATGCCTGTAATCTCATGAAGCAGAACCAGCAATGCTAGCATGAGGGACACACACATGCCCTAGATAGTTATTCGAATTTAATCTAGGCCATCCTCATTTCCCCTCGACACGTGACGAGCACCGCAGGTAGCTAGCTGTGACACACAAAGACACTCACAACGCACACAAACAGACAAGCAAAACATTGCGGGCAGAGTGGAAAAAGCTGCTTGAGACTGCAGAGTTGCAAAATCACGGTTCAGTACAATGTTTCTGTGAAAGCTCTTTAAGTCATTTAGGCCAGGGGAGACACATGCATGAGAAGAAGGGGGAGAGAGAGAGAGAGAGAGAGAGAGAGAGAGAGAGAGAGAAGAAAGACAAGTAGAAAGAGTGTAGGGGGGAGGTAACTCAAGGACACTCTGCTTTGCTGCTACAGAGCATGCTGCAGACTAGCAAGAGCTTTCCTTTTGGGCGGTATTATGTAAGACCTCAGTGTGACAGACAGTTAGATACACAAACATCAAATGCACACGCACAGACACACACACTGACAAACACATCACACGCAGGAAGGCACAACTCACACACACACACACACACACACACACACTTGTAGGCAAACATTCAGGACACGTAAATCTAAATTCACACTGAGCCTTGTGCTTGAAATTCTACTGCAGCCAGCCACAGCTGATTAAAGCGCTTGTTCGCCTCATTGGTGCAGAGACAGGATGGAATAGACGGGTTGAAATATCGCACAATGACGTTAGGGCATTTTTCTTTTTAACATTTAAGGTCCTTGAAGGACCCTGTTTGACATTTTGGCAAATACGTTTATTAGCTTTCTTGCTGAGAATTAGATGAGAAGATTGATGCCATTCTGTCATCCCTGCGAGGTTGCCAGGTTGCCAGGCAACCAGCAGAGACTCAGAGAAGAAGCTGTGGCCACTGTTCATGAAATTCTTCATGTGGTCCCATTTTCTTTTAAAAAATGGTGCAAGATACAACATGCAAATTATTGATCTAACAGCTTCAGAGGGGTTGGCATTTGTTACGCTTTAAATAATCTTCTGCTTCAGACCAATGTTTAACTTTCATTCAAATGAGGCAAACTCACACATTTCCGCAAATGTTAACTACTTGTTTAAATGATAGACATTTGCCCGTCTCAGATAATGTTACTATGTTACTCCATTGTGATGTAAAGCAATATACTTTTCTCTGCCTGGCTTTCACTGTTAATCAGACCTCTGTGAACATGTTTTTTAAAATTGATGCTTGCTATTTTTTAAACCTTATACCAGATTATATTGTATAAAAACTTTACAAGCAACCAAACAATTTATATTATTAGGCATGACGGCTATTATTACATTACATTATCAAACATAAATAGAAGTATCAAAACTTAGATCAACATATAATGACACTAAGTGGCTGAATTATGTATTCGTTAAAGTAAGAAGGACTTTTTATTTGTTCTATCCTGCTTTCCTCACAGCATTACAGTTTTGTTAGAGTGCTTGATGTCACACTATGATGTCACAACATATTTTTAATTCAGTGCTGGCGGCCTTATTTCTCTAATAACCGACATTTAGAAGCAAGCGAGGTAATAACTCACCAAAGACAGTCCTGGCAGGGACGGACTCTCTGTTGAGCCAGAAAGACACTTGGGAGAGGATGACTGTCATGATGCAAGGTAGATATGTCTGGATCACAAAGTAACCAATTTTCCTTTTCAGGTGGAAATGGGTTGTCATCACAACATACTCTCCTGTGGTGAGCAGACAAAAGACACAGAAGAGTCAGAAAGAATGCACAAATGACCTTTACACTTCAAAATATATATTAAGGACATCTATTGTAGCTCTCCCTCTAGACATGCTATTTTGTTAAGTGGTTTGTTGTGTTTTTGCCATTATTTTTTATTGCGGTTGAGATTTATTGGCATAGTCATGGGTGTCATTTGTCAATAAGCCCAATGCAAAGGCACAACCTATTTCCTCCGTGGAGTTAGATCCAGTTGCACAGACGAAACGACCACTACAGCCACATTTTAGATGGTTTTATGTCGATTGTGAGGCTTTCCAGAGTACTGGAACAAATTAAAGATACAATACGTTTAAACATCAACATCATTTCATTGAGCTAAACGCAGTCAATGGTGAGCTTGATGCAAACAAGCCAAATGACTGTTGGGATTCTTCAGCATTACTTTCTTGCCAGTGCCACTGCAAACTGCTCACCCGTTTTAGGCTCTCACTCATTTCTTGCTTCTATCTATAAGGAACAAAGATGTGGGCAAAAAATGTAATCGAGAGCTGCGACATTTTGAATCTAGGTCACGGCCCAGTCGCCTGTAAAGCTTCAGACTGATGCGGTTGAAGATACAGATGAACTGTAGCAGCTGTGTCAGAATTTGCTGTTTCAGACCAGTCAGTTTGATCAGTGAGGAACGATGAAGAAGACGGAATGAGCCGTGAAAAGGACAGTGTACCCGTGCATGGACTCCCATCTGACTCAGTGTTTCTCACTGGATAATTCAATCTAATCTAAATACATTATATATATATATATATATATATATATATATATATATATATATAATATATATATATATATATATATATATATACATATATGTTTCATGGTAAACTGTATCAATCTGAAACCCACCTGTACTGGACTGCACCACACCAGAATCCACACTCTGCCCCATCAGATCGTACTGGTTTAATCTGGACCCGTCTTCTGCTACCACCACGGACTGGGCAGCCCCTCTGGTCCACACATACACCACCTCAGCTTGAGTGTAGGCATCTGACGAGCACGGACAGAGTCAAAAGTTATAAATTATTTGTCTGCTGGTTGTCTGTTGTCACGTGATGCCCTGCAGGTCGTATTTTTAGCTATTTAGCGAGTTACTGGGTTGAATGCCAGTTGAGGAAAAAGGCAAACCTAGAATGAGGAATTCCACTCAATTCACCAATGTATTTTCTCATCTTCTCTCATCTCAATTCTGCTTGTCTTCTCTCATTTGCTATTCAAGCATATTCTTTTCTTTCACCTCATTAGAGCGTCTTCTTACCTTATTCCCCCATTTTATCCAATCTGGTCATAAGATAAGATCATTCTGTCTCATATGATGTTGTTTCTCACAAAGCCCCTCAGCATTTCAACACGTGAGGGGGTTTTCATGTCACGTTGGGTCATGTCATTGCTCTATATGTAAGAAAAACAAATAAACAACATCCCAACAGGACATCATGACCTTAAAACAGCCAAGTCAGTCCTTCCCTCCCTCCGGCCACCCGACCTGTCAAAGCTGCAGTGTGGCTCGGCCACTGCAGAGGAAACGACGGCTCCACTGCAGACTGCAGCATGAGGAAGAGAGCTCATCACTGAAATATTTAGGGAGTGAGTTCAATTTAAAGGCGGGAGGAGTGTGTGGTTGAGGGGGGGGGGGGGCGTTCCTCTCAGCTGCCCACAGAATGCCAAAGAGAGACAGTGTGATGTTCACTTTTTTACCTCTTTCCACTCTCTCCCCCCACTTCCTATGTTTCTCTCCCGTCTATTTTTCCTCTCATTCTATATTCTTGTCTCCAACCTCCGTCTCTCCCTCGTTATGCCTTCCCGAGGACGATGTGGGAAAAGGGGGAGCTGTCAGCGGTGGAGCAGCTGGTGTGATGCTCTGGGATAAACGCAGGTCCGTGCGCAGGATGCCAGCCAGGGTCTTGCAGGCAGGGTTGGATAGGGTGGGGGACCACAGGGGCCTCGGCGGGCAGTTCCTCCGAGAGAACAGCCGTTACCACACTGTCTTCCCTTGTCGGGGACCGATGCCGGGGGGATCACGCGTCCAATTCGAACGAGGTAGTCGAAGTGTGTCGGTACGTGAGGTCGTGCACGAGTGCAGAGGCAACTTACAGCTGCCGAACTTCAGCGGACAAGCGTGGGCATCCATGGGGAAGTCCTCCAGGTGCATGGGGCATTCTGCTCTTACTGTAAGCCTAGAGAGATACATTCAGACATCGGTTGCGAATTACATAAAAGCCAGGAGATAATGCAAAACACGGCATATGGCAGCGCAAAGGGAAAAATAACCATGCTGACAGGGCCGGCTAAGGGGTCAGGGAGATGACGGCACGAATTAAAACACAAGAATGACATTTTAGTACAATGAGGCAGCAGGAACATGTGGTGCAAGGTTTTTCTCTCGGCCTCTCAGCACCGAACACCAGATACTTTCCCTCAAACCAACATAAACGCTCCAGTTCCCTGAGCTGTGGGTTCCCATTTCCTGACAGCTTGGAGAAAAACAGCACGTCGGGCCACCCGTGACACACTAATCTCCCATCTATCCTTCATCTCTCTCGTCTGTGACAGCAATATGTGCTCCGCCTCAGCCCCTCCCCCCCTCCCCCGCTAGTAAACATGCTTAAACAAATGTTTTACCATCGTTGCCTAAGACATCTCACATTAGCACGACTCAGCAGTGTGCATCAAGGATTGTCCTGTTTGTAAGCACTTATTCTAATTCTACCCCTCCCCCGTCTAGCAAACACGCCAACAATCGTTGATGCTTTTCGCATCGAGGACTGTAGTGTCTGCAGAGCAGTTATTTACCCACAGTCCGCTGAAGGCTACCAAGGAGCCACGACTGATTATAAACCCAGCACAGATGGTCATCCCCAATGGGCCTCCTTCTAGCAGCAGCCAGAAAGGGATCAACCGTGACAGGATAAAACAATTTAATTTTTGCTGGTGACCAATTGAAAAATGACAGGAAATTGTTGGGGGAACACAGAACATAGAATATGTAACCGTAGAATTTGTATTAGAGTGAATAACCCTAAACATTACACAGTATTGTGTGTTTTGTAATGGTGGTGAAGAGTAGACCATTTGACTTCCCATGGCCTTTTTCTACTACGCGTTTTCAGAAAAAATGTTAAAGATATTGAAAAACGTATTTCCATAAAATGTTTCCTAAATATGCGATGGTCAATTGTGTTCTTAATGAAAACATATTTTGTAATTGAAAACCAAGGGAAAAAAACAACAATTAGATACTAATACTAATATTTCTTATTTAGCTGAAGCCTCTGTGCCACATATCTCCATTACAGTGCTAATTTATTTCATTAATAACCAATCAACAAACTGGACAGGACAACATGTTCCTTCTCCAGTTGTCCGGATAAATTCACAGCTGAACCCCCACCGACTCTCTACGCACTTCAGTTTGAGTAATGTTACCATTTCATTTCTGCTTAAACACATTTATCTCTGCGGCTAGTTCGGAGATGCACCAGTACGAGATGCACACCCTACCTCATGGTGTACAGCAGCGTGCCTTCCTCTGTGATTCGCAGCAGCTTGTTCGGCATCGTCATGTTGTGAGCCACCGACTTCTTGCCATTGTGGAAGAAGGTGTCGGGGGTCCAGATCTTGCTGGCCATCAGGTTGTTGAGACGCAGCACGGCCATGGGTCCTTTGAACTTTAACCGTTCGTCCTTCCAGCTCTGTCTGAAGAAAACATCGATGGTGTACTCCTACAGGTGGCAGGTGGAGAAGAATTTGAGTCAAGAAGGAGACAAACACACACAAAAAAAAAAGAAAAACCCAACATTACAGCCTTTTTCACTTCTGCCCCCATCGACTAAAGCTGGCTTAGGAAAGATGCAACCTTATTTTTACTTTTTATCCCTTTCCTGTTCCCACTTTTTCTGTGTTCTCTTCCTCTTGTCACTTTGACTTTCCTATGGTAGTCTTGGCCTAGTTTCCCTGCTGCTAACTGTCTCCTCGTGTTAGATGCTTTTGCAAATATAAAGAGGATCTAGTGGAGGGAGGTCCGTGGTCTCCTTGCCGGTATACATTCTCTGAAAAAATGCCTCTGTTATAATTTTGATAATTGTACTTTATTCCACTTAATAATATGTGAGGTTGTCTTTTACAAGTTGACATAATTGCGGTATGGTCAATAAACTATATGCAAATGTTCCATCATTTGGTGTTGCATTGTTAGGTAAATGCCTAAAAGGATCATTGCCAGCATTTAGCTTTTGGGAAACTTCTTTGTTCCGTAATCAAAAAGGGAAAGGAAGCACGGGACAGGAAATATAAAGGATATTTCATTTTGAAAGCAGCTAATGACTATAGCTGAGAGCAGACTCTAATGGATCCACTTGAATGCCCGGCAAAATAAAGAGAGCCTGTAAGAATTACAGCGCTGCGTGTTTTTTTTTGTTCTCTTCTCTCCCCATTTCCACTTGGTCCACGTAAGATAATTAGTGAGCTGAAACAGCTTCAAGGTAATAGAGAGGGATCGGGAAAGACTCGAGATTGAGAAAACCTTCTTGAGCTGTTCCTTCTGGCCACAACGCAGGAGCAAAATAGTCCCGGCCGGCATGTCAACCCCTGCAATTAACTGAGATTACATCAAGTGGAGTACAGCACTTCACGTGCAGATAACAGGAGGCGGGCGGGAGGTGTGTGTGTGTGTGTGGGGGTGGGGGGGGGGGGGGTTCCAAAAAGAGAGGCGCTGAGACATTTGGATGGGATTGATTTCCAGTGCAAAGAGCAAAGATCCGGTCTGAAAAGCCCACGACTTGTTTATAGGACATTGAAGTAGATTTAAGAAACCATAAATGTGATGACTCATACTTTGATGTTGCATTTTAGTTAAAAGCATTTCATCATGCGGTAGTGCTTATCAATTAACTCAAAACGGGATGTGGCAACAGCTTGACCTTCCAAATCACATTAAGATATAACAAAGCGGCAATGTTTGCTGCAATTGGATTGCATTTCTGCACCTACAGTCTTTGAACCTCAATATCAGACCGTTTCTGACATTGAGGTTTGCTTCAGATTTAAATAAATGTGAAGAATTACCACAATTTGGGGTCAGAGCAAAATAAGAATTTGACTTCCACATAAAAAGTCACGTGCAATCACATTTAAAAGTAGGGGGTGCGTTTATGTAGTGCAAGGGTGATTACCAACCACGCACCTAGAAAATACGTTTGACAAATGTGACAGTTTTATTAACACATCAAGAGTTAATGGAACGAATTACTTTACAGTTTGGAGACCGTTGTGCCTTGAGAGGTTAGCAGGCAGGGGTGAGTGTGGAAGGACAGGAACAGGGGGGATCCAGTGACATTTACACAGGCGAAAGGAGTCTTACCATATCATGGTCCGAAACGGGTCCAATACTAGTCACGAAAATGTCAGTCTTGACTTCGGTTACACGCTCTGTTGAAGCAGGAAATTGCCACAGTGAGTGACTATCTGTGGCATTCATTAGCTCCTAACTACCCGTTAATACAAGACCACCTGGCTATAATCTCTAATCCATTCAATCTGTTCAACGGTATTTTTAACACTTGGACACAAGTGAAAAAAAAATATTATACATAAAAAAATTGTTGCTGTCGATAACTATTTCTGCTGGTTTCAATGTTACTCGTATGGTGGTGCGACCTCTTAAAAAATGTGCGCGTTGTTCTGTCCCATAATACTGACAGCTGAAGCAATGTGCGTGTAAGTGCGAGTCTTCGGTTCATTCCTTTTGATTCTGAAACTGAAATATGTGAGAGCTTGATTTATGAATGATACCCGTCATAAGCCATAATTTCATCCCTCGTGATCCCTGAACGTCTCTCAGGTCTGGTTTTATTCGGCTGTTTGATGCCTGGCGCATCATTGTGTATGATCCTCGGTGCCCTTCACACGCCAATTCTCACATTATCTCTCTCCCCCCTTTCCTCTTTTACTCTCTGTACGCTCTCTCTTTCCATCTCTCTCATTTTCTGGATTCGTCTCTTAGTCTCCCTGCCATTTTGTCTCTCTCTCTCTCAAACAATGGACAGTTGAAAATAGAGTGAAGTGGCGGCCACACAATGCCCACTATTGCATATTGGAAACGCTGGTTTTATGCCAATTCACGGTTTCACAAAAGGCAGAGCAGGTGAATAAAAATAGTTTCAGTATTGCTCGCAAAATCTGACACTGTAAGCAAACCCACCTCTGTTAGATCTTGTCATATGGATATTACTACGAGAAAAGTAAGCTATTTATAGGAGTCCTTCAGGACCATATTTGCATGAGGGCAAAAGAAAGAAGAAAAAAAGATTTAAACAGTCACCGTAAGGGACAAAAGACATTCAATGACTTGGGTTAACTGACCTCCTAGTCCTGGCCTGAGGCGATTGTCATAGCCATCGAGAAGACTGTCTAAGATCTTGGTGAACACTGTTGTGTTATCTTTCTGCTCATCTGTCATGCCGTTCTGCCCAGAGCTGGCAAAGCAAAGGAGAAGATTTAAAGTCACAGCCAGTCCGAAAGCACATTCAAAACCGCCGAAAGAGTAAGAACAAACACAGAATAAATCAGAAATAAAAAAAGATTTTGTTAGTCTGTTGAAGTGGATGGGAAACACAGAATGCATCATGAATCATATTGTGAAAACGCACACAAGAAAACATGAATCCTGCACGACGCTGACGCCCTTCAATGCCCATTTACAATTCACGGTGTGTGACCATGAGGATTCATATCGTATTGATATGGGACGAATGAACAAGGGATTGTTAAAAGATTAACTGGTAAGCCACAACGCCAGATTTCCCTGTATCCCCCCCCCCCCTTGGAGTGAAAAGTGGTCATTTACTCAAAATGTAAAAGTGGGCATTCAAAGAACATGCACGTGTGCAAACACACACCCGTACACAGGCACTATCTCACACCCAGAAAGAAAGAGGGGGAGACTAGAGGATTCATGATACATTATTTATACCGTAATATGGTCTCTTGGACCACGAAGGCCTTGCTGAATGTGCTCTTTCGACAACATGAAACAAAATGCTTAGAGCAATGCCAAAAACAGTCACAATCAGTAATTGTAAGAGCAGAGTTTGCAGCGTCTCCACACATAAATATTTGATAGCACTCATAATCAGGGATGCAGCACCTAATTACATTATATAAAGGCGGGGTGCAAGAGGAAGGTATGTGGGCGCCTGTGTGTGTTTGCGTACCCGAGTCATTGCACGCCTGTGCCGTACACTTAGGGTCAATGCAATTATGCAAGCTTGTATACATATTCATGCATATGTTTGCATGTGCTGAAAACAATCAGATGGAACTCTCTCGGAATGCATTGTCTTATGCCTCGAAGCAATCATCCTCTCCCGCTCTTTATGCCAATAGCGTTTGGTTTGATTGCATGCAAAATAAACAGCAAGTGTTTGGAAACGAGCTCTGAAAGCTGAACGGCTCCAAGGAGACGGAGAGGTCATCGAGATTATTTAGCAGGGACTTGGGATGGGAGGGAAGGACGGGTAGGAGGGATGGCTGGAGGGAGAGTGGCGTCTGGAGACACGTGGAAGGAAAGCTCCAAAAGGACAAAGAAGAGGAAAAAATGATGCATATGTAACGGGGAGAGTGGAGGGGGGGATACGGGGAGACGATTGAGGTTGGGGAGAGGTGAGCAAATTGCTAAGTGACGCTGGGGGGTGGCGATTGGTGAGACAGCTCAAGTTCAAAGCTGTAGGATCTGCCTCAAACCCACAGCTTTGAACGAGAGATGCGGAACATTTTGCTTCCCAAAACAAGGATGCCGCATCCAGTCGCACATGGATTTGAATAAAAGCAGTTAATGCCCATGTCTTTGCAACCAATTTCCCATAATACCAAAGCCAAAAAACAAAGCCAGCATTAGAAATTGAGGTAACTGTGATAAGCAATTTTGTTTTTCTTGGAGGTAACAGCTTATAAATACTCAAAGTCTCATTTTTTATTTTTTGTTCAGGTCTGGAAAGCCAATTACGTATAAATACAGGAACAAATTACCTCCACGGAACATCAGCTGAAGCTTGAACCAATATCTATTTTAAGTTAACCAATAAGGACAATTGGATATACAAACAGAACAATCTATCCTTATAGGAATAAGTATCAATGATAGTCAAATAATAGTGAAAATCACACTTTTTTGTAAAACAAAGAAATCATCTTTCACTGGGCGTATTTCTTTGACCTTGCATTTTTTTGAATGACAGTCTGCAATATTTTACCTTGATTTAAGACACTGGCAAGTTAAATGTGTAATCTCAAGAGCATAAAAATATATATTATTAATTTGTTATGAATAAATGCAATAATATGGCAGATGTGTTTCTGTTTGCAGTGTAAATGGGTAGCACAGGCGCTGGAGGTTTCGGGGTTGTATGTCAAGGAAAAGAAAAGAAAATGGTGTGAAAAAGGTGCTGTGGAAGAATACACATGTTTATCAGCCAGGGGCCACTTCCTCATAAAACATTGTACACCATCCCCATCTACAGGTCATCCGAACAGCAACAGTGCCGTTCACGCTCACTCTGTTTCCCTTTCTCCATTTTACTGCACGTCTCTCTCTCGCACTCCCTTTCACTCCCGTCACTCGGTTATCTAATTATAAGGCAATTTCTATCGTTGGAAACATACTGTAGCAGAGTTCGAGGTCTTCCTGATTACTGTGTCTTGTTGAAATCCCCCAAGGTGTGTACACGTGTGTGTGTGTGTGTGTGTGTGTGGGAGAGAGAGTGCGTGATTCTGTATTTGACTTCAAAAAGGGGACTGGATTAAACATAAATCTTTTAGTGTTAATTGCTTTGCAGTTTGCAGTGACAGTTCCTGAGTAACGTAATCAGTACTTTTAGATTTCCTCTGATGTGCTCGACATCAAACCCAGCAGATCAAACCTGCCATTTGCAAGTGAATACATCTCAAACCTCCCCTACAGCTGTGATTAATCAGTTGGATCAAATATGTGTGCAATAATGATGTACCGCAGTGCATCATGCATAAAGTAGGACACATCACATCTGTGTACTGTATGTACTCGGGGCATTTAGGCTGAAACATGTACTGTGCACAGGCATGTTCGTTTCTTTTTTGGTGTAGATCCCACAAGCAGAGAAGCAAGCTGGACCATCTCGGACCATCTCAAGACATCACTATTCAAGTCAACTCGCTGTGACAGTTCTACTGAATTATTCAACCCCGCTGAAAAACGGGATCTCTTGAGTTCCTACAAGATTATCTGGTAGAACCCCAATGGAATCAGAACTAACATGATCTCATGCAGTTGCAACAGCTAATGAATTTTAATTCTATTTGTCTTTGTTTTTATTCAATATAAGGGTTTCAATGTCAGGGCGGTCCACGTTAATCCAAGGAGTGGGGTCAGATGATGCTGTTTGAAGGTACGATAATGACCGCCGGCATTTGAATCACGTGGCAGTTAATGCAGATGCAGACGCGTGATGGTGGATCAAATTGCTGCCACCTCTTATCCAATCAACCCCTCACTTTGTTCGCCTCTGGTTAGGTGGCATCCGACACCTCACTGTTGACATTGAGAAGTGTGTCTGTGCGTCGACCCTACTATCCCTGCCAACGAGTTCACAAATCGGTGCCAAATATCCCGGTGCAGCACAAGTCATCTACGCGGCCCAGATGTGAGAACTGAGAATTTAGAGGTTTTTCCCCAAAGCCGGACAACCAAATGAGATCAAAGAACTGTGCTTCGGTAATATCGTCAATGGGTATTTCAAATTCCCATCTTCTATCTCTGCGTTTCACTTATCATGCCTCAATGCAATTATAAGCAAGTCTCCTGTGGGGATGCCCCAGTGGCAACCAGTGAATGTCCATGAGCGTGTAAGCCATTAACGCGAGAAATAAGCAGGAAGCTAGTGTGTGTATTACTGGCTGCTGCCCTTGCTGGCGGACTGGCAGACTGGTTTACTGACATTTCTATTGTCCAGTTAACCCTTTGGAAGGCTCTGAGAACAGAGTTAAAAGGTAATCGCCCTCTTTCAAAAAGGTCATTGACTGCTTTGCCTGTTGCCATGTGGTCCTTGCAGTTTCTCCTCCAAATGTAACTGTGTTGATTTGCATTGTTCCAGTAATATCTTGATCGTGAGCAATATTAAGAATTGTCCCAAACACTGCGCAAAACTTTAAAACCAAGTCATGTCAGCGGTGTGCACGATATTTACGACTTTTATACATTTACAATGACCCAAGGACCCAATGGAATACACAGGCACGTATACGAATGTTAGTTAAAGTATGTTCTTACCTTTTCCCACCCAGTACGCTGTTGGTGACAAGCAAGCCAGCCCACAGAAACAGAAAGGCCGTCCTGCTTCGTCCACACATAGTTGCAATATGAGGACCTTTCACTGCTGGAGGTCAAAGACAGAGAGAGAGAGAGAGAGAGAGGGAGAGAGATTGAAAACCATTACTGAGACATATAACCCAATGGCCCGCCGTCAACCAATACATTTCATCACAGCAAGACCAGAAATGAACATGTAGGTGTGCTAAAAACGCCAACAGCTACTGTGGAGGCTTGTTCCTGGAAAGATGCGGTTTTTGGTTCTGCTTCTTAACATCCCTTACGGATCCACTGACAGCACATGAATCAAACCAAATGGCCCTGCCACATGCATTGGGCCATCACATACTACTTGACACACGCACGCCTCAAAGATTTCACATCATCATTTTAAATGATGTGTCACATTGACAGAGACATACTCTACACCCTAACTAGTCCCTGTGGGAGAGCGGGTTTTCAATAGCTGGTCAGTGTTTTAATGATCATAAAGGGACCCAGTGGTATTACGACTTTCATAACTGACACTCAATACACACATACACGATATGGCTGCATCTGTAGCGCATACGGATGGGGAAAAAAAAGACAACACACCATCGACCACGTAACACCCTGTAGCACCTGTACATGATGTGCAGCGTGAAATGCACAATGCCGCAATATCAAATCAAGTCCCTCTCAAGGAAGAGTGTTGGCTTCCTCCACATTAAACTATGATGTCAGCCGGGTCATAAAGTATGTGAGCAATTAGCCTGCGCTGCTGTGCAAGCGAACACAGTGCTCAGGTTCTCGTTCCATTTTTTGAAGGTATGATCAATACGTCCACGGGAGGACCAATTACTTACTTATCTGAAATCCGCTAAACCAGTATTTCACACACGACCACAAAATCCCGGCAGCGAAGCGAAGCCCACACAGAAGACAATGCCGCTGCTACACTTCGTTCCAAGGTGCACCGAGAGCGGATGGAAGCCGAGGAGTGTTGGGGGGGGGGACGTACAATGCTCTGCTTAAATGAAATTTAAAAAAAATAAAAAAAATCCTTTCGTTGACAAGGATTTGACGAGGCGGCGAGGGGGTGGGGGGATGATGCAGATTAACGACCGGAGGAGAAAATCCTGCACGAGCCCACTTTCTAAGTTATTCAGAGGAAATCTCACCCTCTCCCCCTACACATGCATACATGCATCCGAGATTGCCTGACATTTAGCAATGCAACTGGCATCCCTGCGAGGTTCGTCGAAATGCATGCATGGCGGAGTAATTAAGCAAATGTGCGTTGACGCGGTTTTATTCGAAGCGCTGTCCGTGGTGCTGAAATCAGGCTTTTCCCTGTTAAAAACAGAAAACATCTCACGGATCTTGTTTGCCGCGAAATGCCCCTCAAGCGGTCCGAAATCTCGACGGCAGACACCCCCTTATCCCCCCCCAATAAAAACTCGTCTTCGATTCTAGCGGCGTCCAGCTACATAAACCTGCCTCTACTAAATCCGAGTGTTGCTCCCCTCTTCTCCTTCTTCTGCCTGATGAAAAGGCGAGATCAACATGGAGAAAATCACTTACAGCAGACGAGTCAGGATACAGTCGGTGTCCGCCGGCTATATCCTCAAACTTTTGAGAATATATTTTATTGCCGGACTGAATGAGAGAGAAAAAAATCCTCTGTGATCTCTGACGAATTTCAGCTTGAGGCTGGAGAAGCGGCTGCTGACGATATGCGCAGGTCTCTCTCACTGTTCATTGGTGGTGCTGTAGTGAGTTGAACTCTCTTAGTCTGTCAGCAAAAAAAAAAAAAAAAAAAAATCACAATAATTCTACCAAATGTAAGAGCTGGTTCCGTGTAGCGGAGCTCTCTCCAAAATAAATGCTTTAGTTTATCGCTCGTGCTTGTAAATAAAGTGCATGGCAAACAGACTGTGTCCAGGCTCAGACCGTTTCATTTTGGAATAGGCTGTACCAATCTCATATAAAGACTAGCCCGCCCATTTCACATGCAGCACGTTTTAACTTCCACTGCTGCCGCCTTAATCGGTTTTTAGTGGCTGCTAAATAAAATAAAAAAATCCTCTTACATGTTCAACTAGGATCCCTTGATTCCCCTCCCCGTTATCGCGCTTCCTCCGTGTCGCTCCCTGACTCATACTGTGCTGTATGATTTCCAAAGCAGATACAATTGACACGCATCGAACGATTGTCTCGCAACCAAAGACCGCTCTGGCACATTATGGACACGAGCGACAGTCATAAAAACGGACAGCGAGTACTTACGATCAAGCGAAAAACGCGAGAGAATGACACCCGAATGGATGGCACGGCTCCGACACGCGCGCACACAGGCAAGCGGGGGGGGGAAAGACACCTCCGAAATTTTTAAGAATATCGTGCTCCCCTCACCAGCTTGCCCTGTTGCAACGAGCCTCCCTCTGCAATAAACATCCTCCTCAAATCACTCACCGTCTCTAAAAGCCTGCGTATCGCATCGAGACAACAGCACCGCGTCTCTGTTTACAGCCGAATATTCTGCTGCTGCGGCCGCGCTGCTCCAGACTGAGCTCAGGATGCCGAGGAGCGCGGATCTGCGTGCATCTGCAAGGGAGGAACGAAAAAAAAAAATTTGGGGGGCTGCTGATAGCCTACCCGGCGTATATTTTTGTAGTCATCTGCGTATTTTAAGTTAAACTACAAATCAGAAGACATTTTCATTTCATCGCCGAGGACCACGGCAAGAGAGGCATAAGAGGAAAACAAGGGCATTCTTATGGGCAGTTCACAGCGCATCAGTGTAATTCATGGTTGCATAACTCCCCATAAATCCCAGCTGTTGATTTTGGAATGCTTTTGACAGAGGAGCAACTCATTTTTTCGCCTTTAGTTTTGACTGGGGGTTTTATTTTCAACAGAGCAGGCACAGTGAGCTGGCAGTGTAGTCACGTCAGTCTGGTCTGCAGTGCAACGTTTCCTCTCTGAGTGTGCTGTTTTTGTGTGTGCGCGTGTGTTTGTTGCCGACTCACGTGTGCTTAAAGTAGTACGTGATTAGTTATGAGGGACGTCACGGGACGTCACGGGCTCGTGCCTCCGTATAGAATAAGAGATATATCAATATGTCCATTTATCGGTTTTGACGTTTTGCGATAGGAATACCGTCTTCAAACCATCCAAAGACCACAACAAATAAATAAGTATAAATGGTCAAAATAAAATGACCAAACCCACATACTTGATATGGGCTTCCTCCCATATATTTGTGCTCATTACATGTCCATATGCTGCAGGTACACGCGCATGTCTAAATAATGTCAACAAGAGAGCCGTCCTCTGAGCTCCGCCTGCAGATTTTACGCTACTGTAACGCAAGCGGGTATCATCTCAAGCTGCTTCCCTTTCCCCAAAGCCGCCACCGCTGCATGTGACTCGACTGCCCTGCGTGTGTGTGTCTGTGCACTCTGCGGGTGCACGCGAGAGCGTGCGTAACCGACACGTGCCAGCGTGCGCGTTGCGTTAGCGCGCACACCCGAGACGGATCGTGGTGAGGATTAAAAAGTATACGACTCTCCTCTCTCCGCCCACCTCCTCAGGTTTTAATAACCTCTCGTTCCACCCGAAAGGAGAAGGTCTCCGTGGGCAACGAAAGACAGCCTCCCCAAAAACCCTGCCAGTGATCAATGGAGACGAAAATTCACTGACGCCGCTCATACAAATAAGGACAAGCAAAGGCGACCTGCCTTTCTCGCAGCTCCATCTCTGCCCGCGATGGGAGCCGATAGCGGAGTGAGAAGTGTGAGCGCGTGCCCTGCGCGTGTGTGATCGCAGCTAAACGGGGGGAGATGGATGACGGTAATTTAGGTGAGAGATGTGCAGGTTATGGAGAAATAATCACTCGCCGGGAACAGTGCCTTTGAATTGTAAAATAAGGTATATTGACGGAATACCCCCAAGCCCCTCCCCCCCTGCGTCTGTGCATCCATCATGCGGTGATAATTTGTTTTGCCTCACACAAACTAAGAGCATCAACTGTGGGGAAGTGGCATTCACAAGCAATGCGCGGCAGAGTTTGTGTGGGTTTGTTGTGATACTGTTCCTGGGCCCATTTGTGTTTGCTAATGTTGTGTTCGTGTGTACAATAAATCTTGAGAGCATGTTTTTATTAGCTTCCCATTTGACCTTTGGAAGTTATGACATTCACACTTTACTGTATCTGACATTTTATGGTTTGACATAAGTGTACAACCTCCTCAGGCCGGCCTGTGCAGCCTGTGCAGCCTCTTCCCAGAGAGTAAAGTAAGTTCGACCCAGATGTTTTCTTTTTTTCGACCCAGATGTTTTCTTTTTTTACCTGTGAAAACCCGGCTCTCAATGATTCCTTCACAATAGGCACTACGGTTCTTTTAGAGGCTGGTGAAGTGTCCGTGTCAGTATAAGGTGCATTTTAAGCAGCTCAGGTGTAAGAGGGCTTTTCCTCTTTGATTTATTAATGTATTTTATGGATTGGACCAGAGCACCCTTGATCATGCAGGAATGTCTTCATCTGACACGTGGTGTTACTGGATTGGAGATTCCTTGTCAGGTGAAGCGGTCACTCACGACGGTTTGGTATACTGCAGGTATAGGGCTCCCATCTGGCCTCCAACTGAGGCTGCAGGTGAGAGGTGGCATTCTCCAGCTCAATTACTGTAGTAAGGCTTGATTTATGCTTACCTTTTTGGCCCCTCTGGCTTTTGCATTTCACAGTGCCAGCGGGTTGGAGGCTGTGCTGCTGCTCTGGCTCTTGAACCCGGACTTAATGCCCGCTGCTCAGCAGTATCTCCCTTCTGTGGAGCTCCTGGCTTCATCTGGTATCTCTATTCCATCCTATCTGGATGGAGCAGGCCAATTGAGACCTTCCTCAGGTGCGGATGAATCCGTTTCCAGTTAATATGGGGCACCAAGAGGAGGAGAACAACTCAAATGGGAATAAAGGAAAGTAGACGCCGGCACGCAGAAAGAAGTTGGTCAGGCTAAATGGCAAATGCCCTTCAAACAATTTGACTGGTGGACACGGACATGCTGGCCGTAGTTCTCTTCTCACAGAGCATTAAGAGCTGACTCGTCTCAATCAGACGTCCTGAGGAATAAATCAGGGTTTTGTAAAGGACAAAAGAGGGCTTCCCCTCTGTGAGCTGCTCTCTGCAATCAGCTGTAAACGTGAGTCTCCTGTTTCAGGTCGGTGTGTGACACACACACACACACACACACACATACACACATGGGCATGTGTTCGCATCCACACTCACTCATGCATTCTTGCTGACGCCTTTCTGGACACAAAAGTGTGCATACTTTAAGTATACTTAAATAAAAAATGTTCATGGGTACGTTTCTTATAGAAAATTATGACAACAGGGATGGTGTTCAATTATTGACCAAAAAAGATGTTACAATCCAAATACCTTTTTTTTTTTAAATATGTTGAAGAAATTTAAAAACATTAGTATTGTACTTAAGATATTTCAGTCATTCATTTTGTATCAATGCTGCCGATATGTTGGACATTTATGAATCATTTGATCCTAACACGTATCAGCAGGCTCATTCCTGATGCAAACAAACATTTAACTGCATTTGAATGCACACATGGGCGTAGTTTACTTGTGGGCATTGCAGGTGTACAAAAATTCTACTTCTGTCTCACTGGCAAAATAGTGTGTTGCACTTTGGAAACAGTCTTCTCTGTTCTAACAATTACAGATTTTATTCAAAGTGTACTCCAGGTTTTTAAATAACCGTTTCTCTCCTCTGTAATCTGTCTTTTTCCCTCTTTGCACTGAGAACATCATTATAATTTATATAATATCATTCATAACAGATTAAACTACCCTTTGGCCATCAAGCATTTGGGAAATATGGTTTCTCTGTTAATCCACTGCCCAGCGAAACTCTCTGAGAGAAAATGAATAACTCCATCTGTAAATTATAATCTCCCAAATAAAATGAATGTTGAAAATTGTACTTACTTTACTTACAAATTAACAAAAAAAGCTTTGCTTGTCCTGTCTGAAATAGTTAACAGGAGACACACAGAACCTCCAACTCAACTGCTGCATTTCCACCGCTTACTGTTACACTCACAACTGGTCATTACGGAACATTACGTTTCATTTAGCTGACATTTTAATCCAAAGTGATTTACACAAAGTGCATTCAACCACGAGGGCACAGACCCAGAACAACAAGATGCAAGAAATCCCAATTCTTTCAAAACAGCCAAACTACATTTGGTGCATATAAATGAATGCTACACATAAATCCTACACACGAATGCTACACATAAACACTACTTGTTATTATCCTGTAAGTGATAAAGGATTCATACGTTTAACATGTGTATCTGTAAATAATGTCCCAATTTAACAATTGTAAAGTTGTAGCAGTATAAGATAAACTCAAAGATGTCATCTGCAAAGTAACTGAGTGCTTTTCCAAAATGCACATGGCAGAAATGCGTGCATGAGTGCATGAAAGGCTCTGAACAAATATTCATCCATTTACGACATATGTACACTGGTAAATATTTGCAAACAAGCAAGAGCCCACCCCCTCGCCCCCCCTACAGTAGGTAAATCCTAAGCTAAAGCTACAGATTCTGCAAATCTCTTCCGGCAACTACACTAAGCAACCAGTTGACCTTCTCACCCTCAAAATTTGGCAATGAAACACCATAATATATAAATACTGTTGGAAGGACTATCAACATTAGTAAATGGTCCTCCAAGCGTCCATGCTTAGAACACATGTTTGTGCCAACATCCTGGTGTTAAGGATTGGGAGACCCTACACACAGTATACTATTGATTTTCTGTACACTAAGACCCCCCCCCCATGGACTGTGTGTGTGTACGTGAATACACATACAGGCCGACCCGGTACATAAGAACACATGCTCCATATTCACTCCTTCTCAGAACCACTGTATATACCCTAATATTCCACATCAGAGCCCATGGAGACTGGGAGGGAGGTTTTTTTTAATTATTATTCAGGGACACAGCCGGTACTTTTTCAGTAAAATGTAATGTTACGCTGCCTTTTCACACTGTGGGATTCAGTAGTTTCCCACTCACTGGTAATAAAGTCTTATGAAGTCGTTTATATTTAGACTCTTTTTCATTACTGCTCCCACAGAGTCAGGAGGTGCAGTTTTGTCAGTACCACAGATGGATTATTGATTGAGCATCTACAGTATTTGACGTGATCGTCATTTCTTGTTGGAAAGTCATTGACACGACTAGAAAGAATCACAAAATGGTCACAAAGTGAAATAAAATGTCCGTAACAGACAATCACTCCAAATCAGACTTAAATGTGATGAGAAGAGCATAAATGACAACAATCCTATTTATTTCTGTTTCAGTCTCTCTGCCTGGCTTTCATGCAGGAGGGATAGGGGGTCTTTTGTATCGTAATTGGCCTGTTAAAAGTTTTTGTATTTTGTTTTAGAATTTTAAAAAATGTAATGAATTTATTGAACTGAATAACAAGTGCAACTCATAATAATTAACAGTTTACAAAGACCTATTACCTATTGACTGTAAATGTATGTCAATCTGATTATACTCATTTTAATAATATTCCCCTTTTTTAAACTGTGTCTTACTTACTTACTTTTTATTTGTATTTTATCTAAATGTTTCACCTGTTTTTTGCCTTTGATTCCTTATTGTTGTGAATGTTAAACCAGTAACATGTGCTTTCCAATGCTGTGAAGTTCATCTGTAGATCTGGATGTGTTTCCCCAGCCTCTTCAATACAGCCTCTAGTGGCCACTAGATGAACTGCTTCTTTGGACACCCTGCTTATGCTTCAGCTTGCCCCGAGAATTCCAAGTTTGCGGTCATCATCCAAACGCCTCTGTGGCAAAGGACGTATTTGAATTCCGGCCTTGATCTCTATCTCTCTCTCTCTCTCTTTGTTTTCCCACCTCAACCTCCTTGGTTCACCTCCACACTCTCTCTTTCTTCTTTTTTCCCCTAAAAAAAAACACTGACGTCAGCGAGTGCATCCACTCCACAAACATCACAACACAAACAGCACTGTGGGCAGAGCCATAGGGCCACTGAGAGGAGGCACAGCAGCAGCAGCAGCAGCAACAGCGCTCTCACTTGTCAGTTTACATAACACTGATTATAACCCTGAGATTTATCCAACCAACGAGCAACAGTTTACTTTGGCCTGGGCATTAAAATCTCAGCGGCCATCTGTTCCACCGCTTAGTTGCTTTCCTTCAAATAGTTTTTTTTCCGCCCACTGATTCTAGTGTCGCTCAGATATCACACAGCAGTAATGTGGGATTACTTTCTGTCTTCTATTTCTTCTCCACTAAATTACTGTGCTGTACTAATACAATTGTGGATCATTGATGGTCATCCGATGGAAGTACATGATTAGCAAGGTCAGAATGAAGTTTGTATTGTAAACGTAGCTACACATTTCAGTTAAATACATATAGCAAACACTTTTTCTACCTCACTCTTAAACCATACATGGTTATATATGTATTGTTGTTGTACTGTGATTGAGAGATTGAAGCCTCCACAATGTATATCTTATAATATCATAATTCTACCTTTTTTTGATATGTTACTTATACTTCTGCTTGTATCTAATGGTTGTTTGATCTTGTGAAAGAGATATTTTTCATGCATCCTTCTTCTCTTCATTTATGTCTACATTTAGCATACTTTCATAACGCTTTTTCTTTCATCCCTATTTAAAACAGTAGTAAGCACAGATGTTTCTTTTAAGTCATGCTTTTTCCTTAAATAACTCGCAGATCTTGACAATTTGTATTTAATTTACATTTTTATGTCTCCATAACATAAGTGGTGTTTAGAAAATCATCTGTTTCAACCGTCACAGCAGGATTTGCGCTGATGCTGCAGCCGGGTTGCAATTTTATGGGACAATTAATATGTGATAATTTCAGTGGTCATTAGGGCCATTAGGAGAAACAGGATGTTATAGTTGAAGAGCTCTCCCCTGCGGTGGACCTCGCTTCTGTAGTGTCCTTCCCTTCGGCCGATATTTCCTCAGAGTGCGGTTTACACGTTCACATTAATGCATCGTAAACTGTTATTCCTCTCCAGATGTGATGGAGAAATTGGATTGTAGCACCGTGAATGTAGCTATGGCGATTGCACGGAATGACAGTTCCTCTCAAACATCCCACTCATCCAAAAATAAAGACATAGAGAGAAAGCTATACAGGGACAAAGAGCGAGAGAGAGAGATGTTCTCTGATTGTTAGCACAAGGTAATGAAACACTGAAAAGGTGACATTATCAACATGTGGGCTGAGAGATTCAGACTGTTACTGCCTCTATTTCTGGAAGTGTAGGAGTATTTGTGTATGCATGTCTGTGTGTGTGTGTGTGTGTGTGTGTGTGTGAGCCGGTGTGATTAAGAGAGAAACGGATGGTGTCAGAGTGTGCATGCATGTGTCTGTCTCTCTGTATGTGTGTCTGTGTGCGCGTGTGCAAGTGTGAAAGAAAGAAAGTGACATAATAAAAAATGGAAATATAGGGAGGGATCAGAGGGAAAATAAAAATATTTTTCACACATCACCTACCTCATTAGAGCTTAGCATTCAGTCACTGCGCAAAACTGTGAATTTGTGTGGAGGTGCTAATCGCACATAAGAAGTTGCTCTTAAATTTCCACCACGCAGACAAGACTGAGGTCATTTCTTTCTGACTTGCGTTGTTGTGATTAATACCTGGAGGGGTGTTCTTGGACTATAACATTGTGCCAAATGGTAGAATTTGGTAGAACAATAGCCTGCACTGCCCACTGCTATATGTGAAATGAAGATGGCATACACAGCAAAAAACATTTCAATTGTAATTTTTTTCTTCCTACAACCTTCGTCCTTCTGAAGATCACTACACTTTGGAACGCTCACATATTTCCAACACCAGCTGACTCTTTAGATAAGATGTGCAGAAGGTGACGGTGCTTTTGCTCTCGTGCATTGCAGCGTACTTTGAAGTCACCCTTGCCATTGGGTCTCTATGGTTTCCTTAAAAAAAAACTCCCTATAGGGGTTATATCACTCTAATGGTACATTCAAATATATTTAGCCTCCACTCTGTGTATAACAAAAGCCATTGTGTATGCAATATATATAGATATATAGATTAAACTGACAAATTCATGGAAAATCCTTTTTTGTTGCACTTGTGAAGTGTTGAGCGAATCTATTTAGCTATATCCCAGACATCCTTACTTACCGAATGTAACAGACAGAAATGCGTGGATCCGTCATCCACCATCAGCACCTCTCCAAAGTGCTCAGGGTTTGGTTTTTGGGGCTCAGTTAAGTCTGAGTTGCTCCATTAGCAACCGGTCGCTAATTGAAACCATAATCACTGAGCTGACTGGACTGGAGCCGTTTGTGATTTGGAAAACTCTGAGAAACTGACAAAGAATTAGATTAAAGAATGCAACAAACCATTAGGAAAATGGATCCGGTGAAGTGAAAGTCCAATCTCTAACAAATCAAATTAAAAAGCAGTAGTCTAAATGCAACTTCTAAGAGCACGACCGGCCCTCATCCAGAAGTCAATAACTCACAGTTCATCCCCTGGTTCAGGGGGGTTTCATAATAAAACTTCCTGTCCTTTTAGACCGATGAGCTGCCCCGCAATACTGTGCGATCAATAACCGGTCAAAGACGAGCTCTGTAAAGTAGAATATCCTTTAAGGTTTTGAGATAATAATAAATAACAGCCTTTGCTCCCTAATTTGGACCTATTAGAGATCCAGCTCCAACTAAACTGCTGGCATTCATTATCATTAATACAAACTGTCACCTAGAGGTATCAACAATACAAAACCACTTTAAAATGGAAATAACAATACAATAAAAAAGTAATGCAACCAATAGACAGAAAGTAGTGCACAATGGAGCTCTAGCTTTGGGCTTGGTGATATCATCCATTCTTCGCTGTTCACATCCAAGGTCAAAGGCTTAATGAAGATTGATGTGTGTGTGATATGAACTTGAATTGACAGCACTGTGTGGCTGTGTGTTTGAATGAAGCAGCCCAGGGGAGTTTGTGTGCCACAAAGACAATATATCAGAGTAGAATAAAGTCTGATAAGATGTCACGTATATAGTTACATATATACAGGCTGTGTGTTTAAGCCTATATTAGCTCGTCCCAGTTGCTTTTTTTTAACTACCAACAAGCGTCCGTTCAGTCTCTATTGCCAGACGACCATGATTGATGACAAGCGATAGAAACCATCGGTGAAGGGAGAGATGACCACTTCAGCTCAAGAATTAGGGTGTGATGGTGGTTTAGATGGCGCCGGTGAATGTATTAGTGGCAGGCGCCATGGAATGTAGGTTCAAATTCTATCAAGCATCAATCCCATTTTGGATAAAGCGCTCTGGCCGATGCTGCCTTGGAGTTAAAGCGGTTTAAGAGTCAGTCAGTTGTGACTTTAATGTGTATGAAAAGAATTATTCAGCATGTTCACGATGCACAACAAAAAAAACCTGGTTCTCGTTCAAAAGTCATTTAGATGACCGGATGCTCTTAATAATTTTTCCTGAAAATCACATTATTCAAATCCCAGAACACATTCTTCATTAGTATGCCGGATAACCGGTTATGTTAACTTTTCTGTAGGATACGTGTGTCCTTTAATCTTACTATTGCAAGGTTCTTGTGGGACTAATTTTTAACAAGTGACCTTTGCAATGAGAAGGAATGAATTGGTTCAAATACAGGCAATGAATTTGAAATGTTTTTTTTATAGTAATTCTGATCCACAATAATCATTGAATGCATAATACTTTATGAAATGAAAAATGTAGCTAATTTCCCAGTAAAAATATACACATTTGCACATTTGAGGTGAATTTGGAATTTGAACACTGTAATCCTCCCCAGTTGTGTTCTGTGGGCTTGCTGCACCTGTGGTGTTTCTCAAGCTATGATTTAGAATTGTCATATTAATGTTTTCTCTGACCTCCAGGGCCAAGACATCAATCTCTCAAGAGGGAATAGATTTCTGTAGGACACCTGGAGCCATTCGCCCTCCTGAGATGACCTATCCACTTTGCGGTGACGCCACTTATTTCCAAGTGGGTGTTAAAATTCGGGACATGGGGTTTAGTCAAACTTCCAAGGTGATGGTCGGTATTTGTCTGAGGCGGCTGTTGGAATCCACCTTTTAGGAAAAAAGTATTATTATATTCAGAATATAAAATGTAATAATATGATTACAGAATATATCAATAGTTAACGGTTTTAGTTAGTTAGGTTTCACAGCTGAGTTTCTTAAAATTTGGCAATAACATCCATTTCTCCAAGGCATAAATTAACAAGTATTTGGCGTTCAAACATCACTGTGTCCTCACAAAACACTTTTCTGGCGATAACTCAAGAAAAAAATCATTCTAATTATACAAATCTCAAATTCTAACTAGATTAATATTTGATTTGACTTTCTTTTGAAGTTTATCTCTAAAAAGTCTTTGACTTATGCTGCACTGGAATTCATCAAACCTGTGACCTTTAGCTTTCTGGGTACTGTTCCTGGAATCAACTATTTTCCAGGCATCCCTCTTTGGATGAGTTGATGTGTGACAGCTGTGCTTCTGAGGCTCATGGGGAAAAGAATGTTTTATTTGGTTTGGATTGAGTGTGAGATCTCAAGGGATATATGCTGATGTGACATATGTCAATGCAACATTGGGCTGAAGGTTCCCCTTGGAGGAGGCATTTACAAGAGAGCACCGTCAGCATATAGGCCCGGCATATAAATTGGTTGATATAGAATTAATGGGCAGCAAACTCTGACAAGCAGACCATCCATGCTGGGAAGGCAGAACATACGGAGGTTGTAAAAGCGTCCTCCTCATTACAATTATTGTTATTCATCATTAAATTTACAAAATCTTTATTTCTTTATTTCTCATTTGTCCTTTCATCACATTGACCGTGTTCAGACACCTCCCTTCTCATTTGTTTTGTCCGGTAACCTTCCTCTCTCCTCGTTCATACCCTTCATCCTTCCATCCACGCATCTATCCAGCTATCATCCGATCATTTGTTCTTCCGTATACTTTCATCTGTCCCTCCAGCCAGTCCTTTATCTTCCTCCACACAGTGTCCATTACCTCCGGGCTCTCATCCCTTATCCCGCAGTGCTGTTACAGTATGTGTCTCTCATCCTTCCGCTCCCTACTTCAACCCCCATGCTAATTTATCTTCCTCCAATTCCCTTTTTGCTTTTCCCTCCACCCAACAATTCTTCACCCTTAGTGTCTTCTGCACAACTTCACCTTTGTGCCCCTGACTGGATCCTTTCCCCCCCATATTCTCTTGCCTCGGGATTATTACTTCTCCTTTCTTTTCCTGACATCTGTCACATATTTCTTTTGACAGTATTCTTCTCCCGTTCTTTTGTACGCCTCTATTACCTTTTTTGGTCCCCTTTTTCCCACAAACCATTTCACCTTTTGCTATTTCCAATGTCACCATCTTCCTAATATCAATATTTATTATTCCAAATCATTCCCTCATTGACCCTTTACAACTTCTCTTTAGCCCCTATAATTACTCCATATACATATTTCATTTTACATTCCAGGGACATTCTTTGGGCATTTACACTCATTCTTTTCTGTTACGGCTTATTCAACGCGTCTCAAATAAAACAAAATGAAAAAGAAGACATCTTGAAGACTTGAGTATACGATTTATTAATAAAATAATGATTAACAGAAACAACCCAACTAAAATGGAAGCAGGAGCACAAAGATCTCTCAGCCCAAAAATAGATAACACCTACACAGCTTTGTGAAAGCTACCCAGACTGGTTAGTAAAACACCTTCATCTCCTCCTCTGAGGACAACTCAAGTGAGGTTGCAGCAGGCACCGGAAAGGGGGCGTGGCAGACCTGAAGCACAGAGATAGAGCCTTCTAACAATATAAAAGGCAACTATCAAGTAAGCTATCAACATAGGTCAAGTGTCCAGACAGACAAGCTGACCATAAAACCAAAACAGCTGAGCCTTGACCCATGTGACAAACATGTCTCGTCATTGCCTCGAAGGAGTATTTATGTCATAACATCTGGACCTCATTCTCCCTTTTTGCATTTGTATATATAGGAGAGCAAAATCAATTTATTGTCAACGACAAATAAATGTCAGTGACATTTGAGTTTTCATTTTCTCTGGATCTCCGAGCTAAAACCAAACTGCACACCCCTCTAGTCCCTTCATCGACGCACCTGCCAGTGCGACAAATGCAAATAATGACCTGCTATCATTTTAAAGAGTCCATACATCTTAATGAATAGGTTGAAATGCTGGGAATTAGTTATCCGTTGTGTGTTTAATCCATTTTTATTGAAAATAAATGAGTCATTAGTCCTTAATCCTTTATCTACTAAGCAGCCTGATGAGCTACACAAGGATCGATTGCTTTGGTCTCCGTCTGCATATTCTGTGAATTACGCGGGTTTTACGTCTACTGAGAAAACACCACAAAATCACTCTTATGATTGATTCTCGATCTTCGCAGGTATGTTATTGTTCTTCTTCAGTTGTTGCCGACAGAATGTGTATGCCGTTTTTTTAAAATACGTTAATACAGAGCAGGGTGAAAGGTTTATCCGTGTGTGCGGCGTTAGCGCCAATTAGCTTGTTAGCTAGAGTTAGGGTTCAACCGGAAACGTCACCAAGTGATCAGGAATCAGGAAACATTTATTGCCAAAATATGTCAAACATACAAGGAATTTGTCTTCAAGTTCAAGTTCAAGTTCAAATTTTATTTATATAGCACATTTAAAAACAACCTCAGTTGACCAAAGTGCTTAACAAGCTCGAAAAGCAGCGATACAATAAAACACAGACAGAGCACAATGTACAATACAAAATAACTGACAGTAGAGAAGAACAAAGTCAAAATATCAAAGCTCAACTAGAATTAAAAGCCAATGAATAATAGTGGGTTTTAAGGAGGGACTTGAACGTTGCAATGGTCCGAGCTGTTCTTACGTGGAGAGGTAAACTATTCCAGAGGGTTGGATCTTGGTCTTGGCGGTTGGTGCGTGACAGTAGACACACAACAGACCATAGACAACAAGACAGCAGTGCATAAGTAATAAAATAAAATGAAATACTAATGCAATGGGTCAGTAGAATAAGGATATTGGTTAGTATAAAATAAAAGAATGAAGTTAAGTTAAAAATTTAAAATGTTAAAAAAGTTAAAAAATATAAAAAATAAAGTGCACTATCGAACAAGGAACAAAGAGACGAGTGACGACAAAGTGACGAGTGACTACAAGGTGAAAAATTACAGTTAAAGTGACATGTGCAGTATGAAGCAGAGTGACCGGTGGAATGTTATAGTCAGTCAGTGGTGGACCGGGCTCTCTTGGCTGTGGCTGCAGCGTACCAGACGGTGATGGAGGAGCAGAGGATGGACTCGATGATGGCCGTGTAAAAGTGGACCATCATCGTCTTTGGCAGGTTGAATTTCTTCAGCTGCCTCAGGAAGAACAACCTCTGCTGAGCCTTCTTGGTGATGGAGTTGATGTTCAGCTCCCACTTGAGGTCCTGGGTGATGATGGAGCCCAGGAAACTGAAGGAATCCACAATAGTGACGGGGGAGTCACACAGGGTGATAGGGGAGGGTGGGGCTCTGTTCCTCCTGAAATCCACATCCATCTCCACTGTCTTCAGAGTGTTGAGCTCCAGGTTGTTCTGACTGCACCAGGACACCAGATGGTCAGACTCCCACCTGTAGGCGGACTCATCCCCACCAGAGATCAGTCCAATGAGGGTGGTGTCATCCGCAAACTTCAGGAGCTTGGCGGACTGGTGACTGGAGGTGCAGCTGTTGGTGTACAGGGAGAAGAGCAGAGGGGAAAGAACGCAGCCTTGGGGGGAACCGGTGCTGATGGTCCGAGAGGCTGAGACATGTTTCCCCAGCTTCACGTGTTGCTTCCTGTCAGACAGGAAGTCTGTGATCCACTTGCAGGTGTAGTCGGGCACGTGCAGCTGGGAGAGTTTGTCCTGCAGCAGAGACTGGATGATGGTGTTGAAGGCAGAGCTGAAGTCCACAAACAGGATCCGGGCGTAGAGTCCAGATGCTGGAGGATGTAGTAGAGGGCCATGTTGACAGCATCGTCCACAGACCTGTTGGCTCTGTAGGCGAACTACAGGGGGTCCAGGAGGGGGTCGGTGAGGGACTTCAGGTGGGTCAGGACTAGCCGTTCAAAAGACTTCATGACTACAGAGGTCAGGGCGACGGGCCTGTAGTCATTGAGTCCTGTGATCCTGGGCTTCTTGGGAACAGGAAGTTCCCAAGAATCTACGTGGCATGTCTCCAGGGAGGTGTTGAAGATGTCAGTGAACACCGGAGACAACTGGTCAGCACAGTGCTTCAGGGTGTGAGGGGAAACAGAGTCCGGGCCGGCTGCCTTACGGGGATTTTGTCTTTTAAAGAGCCGGTTAACGTCTCTCTCCAGAATAGAGAGGGTCGTTGCTGGTGGGGGAGGGGAAGGTGATATAGATGAAGAGCCCCCTGATTTTCTGGGCTGGGGGAGGTAGGGGAGGGGGACTGGGGCAGGTTGGTGGCACTGTGGGGGGATGGGATCAGGGCATTGTCTTTCGAATCTGCAGTAGAACTCGTTCAGCTCATCTGCAAGGCGGAGGTCATTCATGGAGTGGTTTTTTTTTGGCTTGTAGTTAGTGAGGTGTTTGAGGCCTCTCCAAACCGAAGCAGAGTCACTTGCTGAGAACTGTTGTTGGAGTTTCTCAGAGTACAGTCGTTTAGCATCTCTCACCGCCTTGCTAAACTTGTATTTTGACTCTGTGTACAAGTCTTTGTCCCCACGCCTAAATGCTTGATCCTTCTGCAGGCGTAGTGTTCTGAGTTCCGCTGTGAACCAGGGTTTGTCATTGTTGTAACTCACCCTGGTGCATGATGGTACGCAGCTGTCCTCACAGAAGCCGATGTAGGAAGTTACAGCCTCTGTGAACTCATCCAGACTGTCAGCAGCAGTCCTGAAACCATCCCAGCTATTCAGCTGTCAATGTCGCATGCGTGTAAAGATGCGGAATATTCTGTTATGGTCTGTGTTGTCAATGTAATTGATTCTATTAAATAACGTTACTTCAACGTTTACTGAGGAAATGCCACAAAATCACTGTTTTTATTTCTCCTCCCATTCACAGGGCGTAACACCCACCAGTTAGGTGGCCCGCCAGGTGTTATTCTTCCAACTTTTCCAGTTGCTCCTTTACACTCCCTCTAATTCTGCCTGACTCATCTATTCCCCCTCTTCTCATTTACCTTTCCTCTCTCTCTCCCAAAGACCATCCACAACACCAGCGCCCTGCTCCGGTGAACAGTGAATTTGTATCCCCCTCAGACGTCCTACCGGAGAAGGAAAGACAACCTTGGCTGAAGACTCTGTGTAAGCACTTCATTAGCTCCTCGGCTCCCAACATCCACATCGTAATCTGAGTGACGGCCAGTGTGAGAAGAACCCAGCAAAATACCCCAAACCGACTGATGACACTCCAGCAGGAAACGTGCTAGCAGTGAAGGCAGGAAACGCCAGTCCCTTAATTGAGAGGACTAATTAAGAGGACATTATTTAATTGTCCTCCTAAGCTATCGCCTCTTTAACTTGGTTGTGAGAAGCCAGCGCTGTGCTATGATGGAATTTAATTTCACAATAGAGGGTTGTTCTGGTACTTAGCTGCCACTTGCGACGTAGCAGTTGAGGTTAAATAGAGCGCATGTCGCTGAAATTGATTGCGTTGTGCAAACAGCTATTGACAAAGGTCACACTTAATGTTGGGGCGATGCATCATCTCAAAGCACGTTTTATGTTAATTACATTTTGCCAGGTGACCTCCGCTCGTCATTGCTAAATTAACCGGTTTGTGTTTTGAGAAAGTTAAATTACAATTTGAATGTGTTTGTGTGTGTGTGTGTGTGTGTGTGTGTGTGTGTGTGTGTGTAAGGTAACGGGAAGGACCCAAATGCAGATTTTTATTTGCAGATTAGTATGTGATCTCTGGGTCACTTTGTATAAGAAGAACCCCTTTGATTTATTGAAACAACCTACCCAAAGGCCTGACAAGTCAATGTAGCATCACGTCTTTGACAAACTGACAAAGAACAAGGGGACGTTCACCTGTACGAATACAACTGGGCTGAGTAATTACAAACGGGAAGCAGGTGGGAAGGGAAGGAACCTCCAGGGCTGGTGAAGGAAAGTGAGCACAGGTGAAGAGGTTCGTGGAGAAGGTCACGTGACTGGGAATGTTTTTTGTTTTTTTTCTCAGACCAGGGGGGGTTTGAGTGACAAGCGGAAAAGTCAAAAGCCATATGGTAGCTGGAAAATTGCCCACAAACCACTTTGAAGGAATGTGAACGAAGGCAGGACCACAGAGGCATATTTTAAAACTCATAGTATTTGCAAAATTATTTATATATCATGGGATTTACTAACAATGGATAAACTCAACTCATTGTGATAAGCTGTGCTGTATTTAGGAAGGACTGTGTTGAATTGTAATGCCCCACTCTTTATTTATGCAAATCTTATTTGGATCTTCGATTTAAAAGTCCACCGAACGTGTGACCTTGTCTCAGTTACAGTTCAGCTAGACAGAAGTAAGGATACTGTTGATTCTTTAGAGATACAGCATGAAGGCAAAGAAATAATAACGGCACCAATCAGTAAAAATGAATAGTAAAAAGATAAAGTGGAACTGCGTAGTGCAGGATGTTGCTACTTGAGTGAACAGATCTTGTGTGACTAACAGCAGCAGCTGGTATGAGGTGCGTGAGAAACGACTCAAAGTTAGTCGAAGTCGAACAGATGGACCAGCTGGTCTCCATTGGTTGGTAACCATGGTAATTTGGATTTGACCTTATTTGTGTCTTAATATTTCTACCGCACACCCACAGCACCAAATCCTCTCCATGACAATGTTGGCATGTCCTTCCATACTTGTAAACAGCTCAGTCAGGAATATTTCCACTTAAGCAAATTTGACTTGGCTATCAAGAAGACCTTTTGGCCAATTTTGCCAACACACGCATGTACACACCTATTTCCAACAGGACCAACTGTTGTGCTCAGTGTCACGGTTCCCACATTGGTCCAACATGCTTTCTGAACATGAGGGAGGTCTCTTGTGTTCCTCATTCTCACAGGTTCTGTCCTCAGCATGAGGCCTGTCGTCAATCCACCGCTAAAAATACGCAAACTAAAGAGGGAGATTTCACTGCTCCATGTAGCCTGAGATTCAGCCATTTTATTGGGACACAATATTTATCCTTTGGGTGCATAGCATTGTTTTCCAAAGAGTAGGTCCCTGTTCAATACTTCAACCTACAAGTGTGACTTTGGAAAATGCAGATCCTGAAAATGTTGTGCTGAAGTCCGGGGAAAGCAAACAAAAAGGTCAGTAGCAATTTGGTCTTAATGTGTAATGTTTACTTTAGGTTTCATGGAGTCCAGAGATTGGGGCTAAATGATAAATTACATTACAGGTCATTTAGCTGACGCTTTTATCCCCCCCCCAAAAAAGTTCAATTTTTAACCCATCAATTTTTACATTTTTGCCTGGGGAGCAATTAGGAGTTATGTGTCTTGCTCAGGGACACTTCAACGTGGAGCAGCTTCATTTTATATCAACGCTCATCGTTTGTTTCTATTTATTGACGTCATGGTTGCAGCCGGTGCAACACAGAGTATATAGTTTTCTACCGTGTGACAGAATTTATTATTGTATATTAAAGTTTCGCCATCTGCATTCATTTTAATGAGTTGCTCTCTGCAGGTTCTCCTGCCGATAAAGATAGTTTCTCTTTCCTCAGTGCATGAAGCCAGAAAGCTCTTGTTGATTTAATGCATAAATGATGGCGCAGTAATATAGTCAAGGATGATATAAATTGTTTATATAGCTGTTTATAGTGCTCTCCAGGTAAGAGGATGTGTGTATGACTATTTTTTGTATCTATTTCAAACAGACATAACAAACACATGCAAACCATGTTAATGAGTTTAGATTCTGATACATTACACACGGGCCATCGGCTCGTCTCTGGCTCCATGTGATCTGGATTAATGGCGGAGTGCATCCACAGTATTGCATATCTGCAATATAATCTACATGGTGAGGTCACACCAAGCTGCTTAATAGCACTGGTTCGTCTGTAAGTATAGTGATCGGCTTTCCCCATCACCCTCTCTCTCTCTCCCCTCCTCTGCTGTAATCCTCACAATGATGTATTATGCCCACGCTGCAGTGTTATGGGCAAGACTATGCTTTCTCATTCATGTTTGAATTCAATTCAGCCATTTGACTGATGCCAAAAATCATTGCAAAGTTAAATTCCGATGATTAAGTCATCGATTACTTTTATTGATCATCATGCACTGCACCGGCATTATTAGGGGTTCAAATAAATAATTGAAATCCACTTAAAGTGGAAAATGACGTTGGATTAATGTTGTGAAATGATTTCTTAGGATTAGGCTATAATAGTATATGTGTGAGGTTAGAATGATGGAAACGATGACGTAAGCTGTGTTTGTTTGACCCGTCTACGTCGTACTCCCACCCTCTGTGGACACGGGTGCACTTTTCATTATACCATGTGAAGTCAAAGTGACCTCACGTTGAACAACGGTCGCACAGCTTATTTCCCAAACCTGCTCAACACCAGCTCGCTGCGCCAAGTGTGAGCAAATGCAGAAATGTCCATATAAATGATTCACAATAGACAATTATTATTATTATTGTTATTTCTCAGGATCCAGTGTTTCAGGCGCAAATTCATTGCATTTCATATGTTTTATTTGGTCATAACTTTAAAAGACTTGATTTCTATGAAAAAAAAGAGGTGAAGTGTTTCACAATGTTGTTTTTCTGTCCTGTGTACATAATCTAAGATCAACACAGCAGCTCTGCTGCCTTGTTTAAATGAGATGCTTTGGATAACAATCCTGTTGGCCGGCTGCCCGAGCTATTAACGTCTCCCCATCTCACACAAACTGCAGCAACTTTATTATTAAGTACACAATCTATTTGTAATACTTGCTAATTTGATGTGAAATCACTGTGTCACTGAGTGTGATGCATGAAACACACAACTAAAACAAATGAAGACCGTCTCAACTCATGAAAGGCAAATCGTTGTGTGGTGCAAAAGGTGTTTGTGCAGATGGTGCGAAGGAATGTGAGAGCCAAAACATTCTAAATGTGGTGTTCAGTGAGAGGTTTTGAGTGTCCGGGGAATATATCTAGGATGTTGACACTATAAATAAAGAAACAGATAATAATTTGTCAAAAGCCTGGTGCAGAAGCTGAGATGTGACCTTTCACCTCCCAGCGTGGGAGACCCACGTCGTTGGTTCAGTGCCGTCTTCTCCACAAGCTCCAGATGACCCTTTTGGAATAAGAACAACTTGGTTGCCATGGTGACTCGAGCCATTTTAACAATATGCTCTGTTGCTACAGTGTGTAGAGGCTTGATACAGACCAGTTACTTCCAAAGAACGAACTAATTGCAGGTGTATTTTTTTAGGTAGTGCCCAGGTGATGAACGTTGCTCTGCATTTTTATAAATATTCCACAGAATAAAAAATCCACCATGAATTTACAATGCTTAAGGCAAATTTATTTTGAAGAAATGTATCAAACAAATGTAATTTTCATAGAAAGAGTCTTAAACACAAATGCAAGCATCTTCCATATTTCCTGATTTTTGTTGTTACCCAAATGTATTTGTATAACATATTTGTTGGTATTTGAAAATGAAGCAGTCAGAAGGATTTCCCTCTGCTGGTAGTTCCAGCTGTGTCCACTTTTGGTTTATGTCCAAATAAATCCCGATCCCTCATTAGTGTCAAATAAACAACACCGAAAGAAGCTTTCAAAACTGATCGATTGAATCTGCATAATCTTGTTTTAACTTTGTTAAAGGATTATTATCTAATTGAAGTTGACATTTTTCAACAAAATTCAACTAATTGATCAGATTAAAATACGATGTGTTGCCATTCCTTTTCAATAAGAAAAACGGACAAATGGCGTCAATATGATCCTTTTGATTTGACGTCAAAATGTTAATCGGAGCACCTCATCTGCCCCTCGTGGTGTTTCTGTTCCAAAAGCATGCGGCGTGCTGTAGTACATCGAAGGAGGTCGCTCGTCACTGATTCTGGGGTTATTTTTAACCGGCCCCCGTGTGCAGGTCTAATCAGAACAGGATGTTCCTCATCAAATCAACCAGGAATATATTTTCATGAAATGAGACTGGGTCTGTGCATGTACCCTACCATGATGTAGCAGACTTATTAGTGTGGATGTAGGTCAATCACATGAGTGGGTTACCCTACTGGGTGGAGTAGTGCAATTTGTCCACTACAGCTGACAATCAGAGCAGGTTAGTTACGTCATAATGGAGAAATAACACACAGACAAACGTATATTTGAAATGGTTCTTTTTTATTTTATTCAAATTAAAAATATATAAAAAAGGTAATCTATAGCTTTTTCAATATTCCTATATGTAATAAGGAAGTTTCACCATAACTGTAGTTTATTAAAAAAAAAAGGTTCAATCCTCTACTCTGCAACTCTCAGTGCATCCACATTGAGCAGATGTCCTCCCTGCTGGTGTATAAGCAGCAAGTTTAACAGGTTAAATAAACTACATGAATTATGTTGTCATCAAACTCTTGGCAGTAATAAATTCCCTCTAGAGGTCAGAAGTCATATGCATTTCAAACAGTGACACATTTTAATGTACCGTACTGCCGCAAAACCACAAAACAGTCAACAGTATTTCGGATCAGTGTAGATGAAAGCGCATAATATGCCTCACAGAAAAAAGAGCGTCTATAAAGTTGAGTTAAATCGGCCGCCACCTCGACATAGTGCACGGCGTCGTGTGTTTCCGTGGCTCCGTCACACTGGGACGAACACAGCCAGAGACACTGAGTCTGTTTCCCATCTGTGCAACACGCAGCGTTCCGGGTTATTGGCTGCTTTACACCGTTGCATTCCCCCCCCCCGAGCAACAGCTTGACATGTCGGGCACAGGAGAGCTGGTGTTCTGCCTGTGCCCCCCTAAAAGCACCCACCCTCCCCCCTTTTTCCTAATGTATCTGTTTATCCAAATATCTTCTCCGTCTCTTCCTCCACCTGGTCGGCTGCGCCCTCCGCCTCTCGAGGTTGTTCCTGGCCGTCCTCTCACCTCTCCACCTCTGCCGCCTTCCGTCTCTCTCCGTCGTCTTCTCTCTTGTCTCCTGGGTTGACAGCGTGGAAGGTGGATGGATCCGACAGCCTGGCGCAGTCTGGCGTTTCAGTGAATCCGATGTGTTTAATATGGTGCCTGCTGACAGCGCTTTGGGAATTGTTCGCAGTTGGAGGAGACACGGCCACACTTTGGCCCGTCCGCCCTCCATCACTCGCGCTTTCAGTGTGCCAGCGTAGGGGAAGCATTTCTTCACGTGTGTGTGTGTGTGTGTGTGTGTGTGTGTGTGTGTGTGTGTGTGTGAGTGCATCCACGTGTGTTTTTAGGGGAGTCAAAGGTCAGCAGAATAAGGCGCCTTCCTTTCTCTAACAGCTTTTCCTGAAAGGGTTCACATCCTCCCGGTGGTGATGGCACGCAGGCTTCACTGGTGATACTCGACAAACAAACTGAAACTCACAGAATGACTTTCTGTGAATCACCTGCTCGGTGACTTTGAGTCTTTCGCAGTCTGGAAATTGTTTCCCAAAGCAAATAATGTGTAAAACTTTTGCATTGATAAACACATGTTGCTTGCTGCTCAAGTTTGTCTCTGCACCTGAAACTGACTTGATTTGCATCGACACGTCACTTGAATTTAAATTGAATTAAAGATGCGCATATTTAGAGGACAGAGCTACATAATCAATAGATTTGTTCTGAGGTGACAACGGCAAATTTATTAGGACAATGCCTGTTTGAATATAAATGTTATTTGTCTGCCTTTTATTATAGATGGCAAAGAAAATTCAGAGAACATTGAGTTTCAAAAATAAAATGAAAAAGGTTTTAGTTACAATATTCAGCTGTGTAACTTTACTTTACCGAGTTGTTAATGTTTGTTGTTGTTAATGTTGTTGCATCATGAATTAATCTGTGTGCTGTTCTTCTGCTCATATTTAGGCACGCTCTGCAACGTCTCCACACACACACACACACACACACACACACACACACACACACACACACACACACACACACACACGCACACGCACAATCTTCTACATATCAGCCTGTGTGTGTGTGTGTGTGTGTGTGGGGGCACCATGTGCAGTCAAACTGTGATTTTCTCTGTGCCCGTGTAAAAAACATATGGTGAGTCAGTGTGTAGGAGTGGAGCGCCGGTGGGCCGGTGGGTGGAGGAGGGAGCGCTGATGGGTGGTGGCGAGGAGGAAAGAGGATTCAGGTTGTGCACCAATAGGTGGCACTCTACCCTTTCGTGATTGGCCCTGGTGACCAAAGATGTGCACATGTGTTTGCACCCCAATCTCACGTGAACTTTAATGATGCAACTACCTTTTATTCTGGTTGTTCCTGCTGCTGGCTGCTCTTAGTTTAGAAGAATAGAAGCAGAGTAAGATGAGAGTGTGGCTGGAGGGGGGTGGGTGGGGGGGTTACACCACTCTATGTGAATGAATGGAGAGTTATCTCCGATGTGGCTTTTAGTTAATAACTTTGGGGCTGAATGCATGAATTGATGTGTGGGAAACGGTGGTTTAAGCGAAAATAATCCCATAACAAACAAACATTGGTGGACTTGTTTTATCATTTGGAATTGTACTTCATGCGTGTCTGTTCATGTCTGTATGTAGCGTAATAAATATGATGGTTTGTGTGGGCTTGCAGTGTAAAGTCTCAATAACTGTAGTTAATTTAAGTGTAATCCATTCAATCCATTCAATGAGTAGAACACATTGTGACTGATTTACATGAATGTGCGATTAAAAACAGTTTCTCGTGTCATCTCATATAACATCATTACTGGGATTATCGTATCGAGTTAAAGGACTCACATTTAGTATACAGTGACATTCATGTGTGAAGTTTATATAGATTCATATCATTCATTTCTCAGTCTGCCTTATACAAAGTGGAAAAGATTCTTTTTTTAATATTTATATACATAATCTGGCTTTATTGAACATAGTAATATACAATCATGTGGGAAAAGAAGTGCGGGTTCATCTATTCACAGGGGACAAACGAGCTGAATGCAAATATTATTCTCTGTTCCGGTAAAAACAGGCGTTCCTGATCACAACTAATGGAGAGGAATGTGTACAAGGAGAAAAACGTGGATGATCCAAACTGTTAGAAATACAAAAGTTTGTAGTCTTGTCGTTCAAACCGGTACAAATGTGAATGCAGTGTAGCTGATCTTCAAGCAGGGTCGTATAGTCAGAATACAAACAGGCGCCTACATCAAAACGTAATCATATTCACAAAATATACAGATACAAACAACAATGTAGAGCATTCATCGTCTTCTAAATTGTGTGCACAATTTCTAGGCGTGTGACTTGTGTAATTTAAGAAAGAAAAAAACAGAAGAGATTAACTGACTAAATGAAACAATCAATAAAGCCCATGCCTGTGGAGTCCGTGGCCTCAGTCGCCATAGCAATATAATTCAATATACTATGGAGTTCAAAACCTTCTACATTCAGCGATCCTAACAAGCACATGAAGGGGCAGAGGTCATGCAAGCGCAGCTCTCGTAGGCGAGCCGCTAGGCCGGGGTCAGAGGGCAGATCTACGGGTGTCGCTTGTAGGAGACAACGAGCTCAATCGCCTGAGAAGAAGCTCACTCTGTCACACCGTCCCATTGCAGGTTATTGGGGATTCAAAGAGTCCATACGGTCTGAAACAACTGTTCCCTTAGTCCACAAATAATAAAGAAAACATGCAACAGTCCTTAGAACGAAGACATTCTTTGATCCCCATAATTGTCTCGTCAAATGTTTGCCTTTTTACGTTTTTGCAGCCTCACCCATGACTCTCGCTCATCATACCGTTGCTGTATTTCATGGATGTTGTAAAAAGCAATAATTAAAAACTCTCTGGCACTGGATGCAATCCGAGCTGTTGCCAGTCGGAGGGATTCTCCAATAACTTTTGATGATTGAGTTCCCTGTTTGCAACCAGTTTCATGAAATAACAAACCTGGGGGGGTCGAACCAGAATCAATATTGCATTTTTCTAGCGTTGAATATAATTATTTTATGTTAATGCCGAATCATTGAATAATAATTATTTATTACTCTTATCAGTATGGTTGAAGTGAGCTCGACCATTCTGGTGTTGTTACAAATCAGAAGGTCTTTCAGGAAATACACATAAATACAGCAAATTAAAAGTTTCTTTCCAAACCAGAACAAAACTACAAATCACCAGGATGTGATATGTATGCGTATGAACACTATGTATTTTGAAAAAATATGCACACTTTTCCTCCTAATTTTAACATTAAGTGTGAGTTGGATTTGTCTTTAATAACTGACACCCAGTAAACAACCAGATGGATTGTTGGCTTTTTGATTCCATTTCAAAAGGTGCCGTGTTAATAAGGGACACCTTTAATGAGAACATCCTCACGGATGATGGATGTCGTGAGGAAGCAGTCACCAATACGTTTATATTTAGACACCGCAGGGTTTAAATATGTCACACAATCTGTACTTAATTAGAAGCTCTGCACAGAAATATGCAAATCCACACAAGTGGACTATTTATGAAAATGTGTTTTTTTATTTTTTATTTAATTGATGATGATGGGTTTAGGCAACTATTTTTTGCTACTTTTTCAAAAGAAGCGTGTGCCGTCATCTCAAAAGATAATTGGCAACCAGTGTAGGAATCCTTTAAGTCTAATTAAAACAGATGCAATAAGTACAGACAGTACAAAAGAAAAATGATTACAATTATTGCGTAAAAATGACCTAATCTTCTCTGGGGAAAGATGACAAAGGCTTCAGTAAAAACGACTCTCTGACGCATTATTTATTCCTCACTTGTTCCAAGGTACTGTGTCTCTATAATTCTAGATTGATTACAGATTTCAGCTTTGTATTTTTATGATGGTCGTTCGTCACTGCATTTCTATTTCATGTAAATCAAGGAGCTATTTCCATTTTAATTCTATACATGCACATTTCTCCATCAACACATGCACGTGACAGTTAATATTCAACCAGACCCGTGTGTCCGTGGAACACTCCGCAAAAAACCCTTTGAAGATTTCCTCTGACGCCGCCTGTCCTCCACCATTTGGAGGGAAATTAAACCAATGTATTAAAAATGATTGGTTGTAGGGAAAGAAAAGAGGAGAAAGAAGAGCTGTGAGTTCACTGGATTCAACAGGCTACGTCGTTCCCATTAATGAGCACTAAGCATCATAGAGGAGGAAGTGTATTTTTTTTTAAACAACATGCAAAGTCACTACTTGTGGAACCGCATGCATGTTGCACGCTGACAGCTATAAAAACAAGTTAAAAAAACAGTAGTGCCTCTGGTTGTGCAGCCCGGCTTGCTCAGCTGCTGCATCTTGGCCCGTCCACCGGGGATAGAAAAAACAAAAGAAGTGAGGGACACACGGAGAGAGATGCTGCACTACCTGTTTGAAATGATTCCAGAGCCTGGTGCCCACCGGCTGTGAGCTCCCGGGTCAAGTTGGCAATAGGAGCCGGTACATCTGCTCTTAAAACACTCGCTTTCCAAGGGAGTTCTTTAAAAAGAAATACAATGCACTGAGACGGCTTAAAATAGTGCTTGGCAAGCGTCTGTCACCTATTTATTGTGAATACGTATGTGTGTAGGACATGTTTCCAGGAAGACGAAGAACCATTGGCTTACACGGGATCCCTGTAAGACAGAAAGAAGAGAGAAAACAGGTGGAATTAGTGGAAAGAACTTCACCTGAAGACAGGGAAACTAAATCGAGGGACCAGAGAAAGAGCGGCACCACGACGGGTTTCTCTCTTTGACTTATGGATTTTTATATTTGATCAAACTTAATTATACAGAAAAAATGCATACACCTCCACAGACACCTACTCCCTCTCGCACGAGTCCACATCTGCCTGCACAGCGCACATGGGCATGATGTAACCACCCGCTCCAGATCAGCTTCACTGTGAAGCTTGGCATCTGTTCGAGGCTGATTTTAAAATTTGAATTTATTCAGTCCCTCGCTGCCAATGTTGTTCACAAAGACCTTGTGAAGCTCGTCTTGAAACCTCTGCCAGTTAGTTCACACCTCCACATCTTACGTCTGATGCGCTAAAGCAGGAGATACTTTCCACAGCGCCGAGAAACATTTTCAGCCAGAGAAGTCTGCTGCTGGCAATGAGAACCAACTTCTTCTGTAATACGCACTAAGATAGAATAACTGCTCTGCCCGTGTGCCTTTAAGGCCAAACATGAGAGCAAAACGCTGATAAATAAACATTTATTTGCAAATGAAAACATTTTGCAGTGTACAAATGTGTGTTTGTACGTGTAACTGGAGGCGAACGTTCCATGACACACAGTAGTTATTTAGTGAAAGAGGTTGAGAAGAAAAATGTTGATCTGGTTATCTTCAGTTTAATTTATCTCACTGTAAACCGCTGTCCACTAACTTTGACCAGTTATAAAACACCAGAAAAATGTAATTTCTGTTGCAACGCCATGATAACAATATCGTTGTATGATGATCATATTATATTATATTAATAGACCATCTCAACTGGCTATCAAATACTTTTAATCTAAGACCAAGCTTTATTAATAAAAAAGAGCGATCGGTAATCAGTGTGCACAGGATCTGTGACACACGCACACTGTTGAACTTTTAACCTTTCCTTGTGAAACGGGCCCATTTCTCCCTAGATAACGCCGCCCTGCTCTGCGGTTCGGCCAGATGGCCAATATGCATCTACGCGCTCGGTAAAGTAGACAGATAGACACATTTGCAAAAGTCCTATGGAGACGCGATGGACGCGACCTCGCTCTGCACGGAAACACCTGGATGAAAGATGCCGTGTGGGTAAGATAGAAGGACACCCATCTTTGCTCATCCTGCTTCATCAAAGAGGAAGCATTGGAACAGGCTCTTCCCCCGCGGGATGGAGGGAGACGGAGGGGCTGGGGAGCGAAGCGGCAGGGAGGGAAGGAAGCGGAGGGAGGGAGGGAGGGTGTGTGTGTGTTTGAAAAAGGGGTGACACAGAGATAGTGAGAAATAGAGGAAGGCAATTGAGTGGGAGTGATGGTGTAGACTAAAGTGAAAGCTCGTATATGAGAAAGCGAAGGCAGGAGCGGAGATCAGCAGAGAAATTATAAATGTTTACACACACACGTCCATGTAAGCACAGGTGGCTGTGTGAGAAACGCACTCGTGCAAACAGTCCAACTACGTGACAGAGGTGCATGAAGCAATTTCCTTGAGAAATATGATACATCGGTTTTATTGGTCTTCTTCACTTCCTGAGTCGGCCGATAGTTGAGTGATCACTGCAGCGCATTTATGGCTGCTGCCTTGCAGTCGGGAAAAAGGACGACGTTTAGTATTTTTTTGATTTAAGCCCAAAAATGGGGAAGTGGTTTTTCAGCCTGCTGTGGCCACTCGGAGACACCAGTCAGCCAGCCGGTCTGCAGCCAGCGAGCCAACCAGCTGTGGCCCTTGATGGAAGGAAGTGTTTTCATCAAATTTGTTTCCTACGTGTCTTCCCCTGAATGGTGCTATTCATTCAAACAGCCTCCAGTCAGTAGGCACTGCTGCCACGGCACATTCATACACTCGTCCCCCTGGATCCTCACAAAAGCACACACACACGCGCACACGTACACCTGCGCACACACGTGCACAAACAGAGAGTATTTTCTTCCGCCGCGGCTTATCTTTGCAGTAGGAGCCTCTCGATTAAATGCAAACTTACATAAAGAGGTAGAGGAGGCTGCATGCGCTGTTAGCTGCTTCCAGCCGGGGGCCAGCGGAGCTGTATATTTATCTACCTGGAGAGAAAAGGACGGCCCGCTTACATCTAATTGATGTGATGCGTGGATCTGACTGGGAATCAAGGGTTTGCTAGCGTGGGTGGTGCCGAATAGAAATAGCTATGAAATGTAAAAGTGTTAATTATGGAAGTGCGAAGCATTGCACGGTGGACCGCGATTCAGCCCAGATTACTGAGCACGAATGCTTTCATTTTCACCAGGGGTGACTGTCTGAACAGTCTTGTGGTTCTGTCAATGTTAAAGATCTTGATTTTCAACGGTGTAACCAAAATGCAGCTTATTTTCCATGTTTCTATTTCCAACAGCCTTGAAGGCTGCCGCTCTTCGGCATTCGTACACGAACTCTGTCAGGCTTTAAAGTCCCTATCAATTAATAGAAGCGGTCGAGACAGTGTTACTAAGAGGGTTAGTCACACAGAACCATCCCAGCGCCATTTGACTCGTACCAGTTCAAGGCTCCGAGCTGTTCCCTTTTTAAGAGGAAAGAGCAAGACGAGGAATGAAAGGAGCTGAACCCGCGTAGATGAAAAGGCCCGTGGTTACGAGCAGGAACATGCATCCGTCTGTAGCGTTTGGTAGTCACAAACTTGCAAACAAACACGCGCGGAAATAAAGCCGTCTTCTTCAACCGGCATCCCCATCAGCGCTCGCGGGGTCCACCGAGGTCATGTATGCGAGCAACATGGGTAGCTTGTTGTCATCAAAGGACCAACGAGACGGTTTCGTCTGATGGCAGACACATTGCTTTGGCAGTAACAACGGCACAAAGACGGCCTATGCGCTGCAACTGTGAATCCTGTCTCAGTTTATCACATGAAATTAAAGACACCACTTGTGAGAATGACATTAATGTGCCTCTGAGCTTTTACAGTTTGCTCTGCAAACGACAGTAGCTACAGAACCAGAAATCACAGATATTATGTGTCAAAGCGATTTGGCAGCAGCAGGAAAGCGGCCGGTGGGGTTCGTGTCTGAAAGCTTTTTGTAATCACTTTCTTAAACCTTCAATACTCGTATGCCAGAATAATAGTGTAATCTATGTCAAGCAAATGGCCCCCTGAGGCCAAAAACACTTTTCTTGCAATCATAAAGACTACACACAGTTCCCTGTGTAAGGAAAGCACTGACACCCAGCAGGCCATGTGTGCTGCAGCCTGTTGGCGCTGCACACAAACGGCCTGCTAGCGTTGCCTGGTGCTCTTGTATTGCAGTTGTAAACATGACTCATATATCCGTGGAGCCTTTGACCACCTAGAAGCCACACTGTAAATCATTAGAGCCGAAAGTGTAAAATAATACATCAAGACATCAGGCAAGCACACAATTCTGTGCACTGAACCATTTGGTGTTTGTTTAAATACGGCTTGCTGTGCTCCGAAACTTAAAATAATCAATTTGCAATCTAATACACATTGTGTCATGTTACTGTTTTTGACCAAATGTACAAAGCGCAACATCATATACACACTGATAACCTGTTGCACGACTATTGCGCACACCTCTCTGTTACTATATTAAATGTAATGTAAGTATTTGTAATAAAATCTCCCCTACGCACCTGGACATCTCCATGGTGTCCTTAGTGAGATAGACGATCCAGTAAACCAGGTTGAAGGCGCCGAACGAGAGCGGGAAAAGGATGCGGGAGTATTTGTCGATGATGCTGGTGCCCGTCAGGACGTTGTTGTCCGGCACCGCTGAACCCTGCTGCAGGAAGGCTTGGGCATTGACAGGTGGGTTGGGAAATGTTTTGGCAGGGCGGTCAAACAGCGAGGCAGAGTTCATCCTCTTCTTCAGCACACTGCTGGCATCCAGCTTGGAGACGGAAAAAGCACAATGCATTTAATGGGTATGAGGAAAGTGGCATTGAGGAAGATTGTGCATGATGTAATATGAGGGCATTGTTAATCGAACGAGAGCTGTGCGGTTTCCAGATTCATGAAATCATCATATAGGAGGTCGTAAAATATGGACGCTAAGTGCAAAGTGTGTGTTTAAAGGGGACAACTCGATCCAATGTAATTTATGTCAACACATTAAAGACATCATTTAAAAAAAGTTGATTATTGCATGTGGGAAACGTGTATGTTTGCAAAAACTGTTTCGGATACCGATGAGTTCCACGAGCAATTAAGCACAACAAAGGATATCGATGCTCTTCTGTTTTTTGATTTGATTTGCTTTCCATCAACCCGTTCCGCGAGGAGTGATACAGTCATGGGAAGCAAACAAAACACCTCGCACACAGAAACCTGCACCGTATAGACACAGCGCTGTGGCTCGCCAGCTTTCAGTAAACCAGTGTGATCTCAGCACGCTGCTCCAGCAGCTGTAAATCAGCTGCAGCACGCGTACCGATCGAAGGGAGGGAGCATGCATCTCGGAAACGGGTCGAGGAACATTGCGTCGGCTGTAGTGGCCGAGAGAATGACAGAGACATCGAAAGAGGGAGAAACGGAATTGATTCTTGGATGGATCAAGAAGGGACCAAACACAACCTTCATTAAGATGTAGTGTAGGTGTGCATAGTGTAACATTTACACATCTTCCGTCAATAAAAAAACAACAACAACAACCATCTTAGAATTATTGGAAGATCTAATGTTCCATGTGTATATGTACAATATATATATATGTATTGACTCCACGTGGGAGTACAGCCCCGGGCCATTAAGCAGGATGTTCAGCCCGTTCTCATCCCCGGGTCAAATTGTGCAGATTTGTCACGCCGCTCGGTGTACCGAGGCTCACGGAGCTCACGGGTCAGCGCGCACACAGGGATCGGACCGTGGCAGAACGAAGCGTCCCTCGGGCTGCTTTCATTCAGAATCTGCCACCTTCCTGCAGGCTGGTGATGAGGTATGAATGTTTTTGTTCAGAAAATATGTTTTAATTCTGCTCTCTAGTTGAGCCATAGAGGAAGTGTTTGTAAAAAAGCTAATGAGAGCTTAGTCACATGGTGCAACAAAAGTCACCCGAAGGCCAATATCAGGAGCAGCCATATCTATCACCAGAGACCAGACTCAAAAAAACAAGTCCATTGATGCTAGTTCGGTACCACACGCTATGGGCTTTTCCTAAATTATTAACCAAGCACAGGTTTGTGTTTGTCAAATAAACCATACTTCAAAAGAATAATGATCACCTCAGTGTGGAGTAAATAAACTTCATACATACTGTAGTTCACCGACTTGTTCCCGTTAAACGGTGGAGCTCATTCCAGCCGCAGTGCGTGGTGTTTTTTTTTTTCTCCAGACTATAGTTTGGGAAAAAATCTTGTAAGATTTAGGCTGGATTTGTGAGGCAACAGGATTACACGCTCCTCTACAGGTTAAGAAACTCTCAATCTATTCCAATCCTCTGGCTGATGGGGAATCTTCCAACATTTGACTACAGAACTTAGTTATTGATATCCTAAAACTATAATGCTTCCTATAGCTGTCAATGATCATGCAGTGTGTTATGTGTTTTGTTAATAATAACAACAGGCTTGTAAGGCTTCTTCCTGAGGGATCCCAGAGGAATAATCTCCTCTTCTCTTTGCAGAACCACTCACACAGCGAGGACGGGCCTGATGGATGTACGGATGCTTGTTTGGGTGTGGGTATTGGTATGCGTGGGTGGGAGCTACATGTAAGTGAGTTTTATTATGTATGTGGAGGTGAGTTTGTGAAATAAGGTTACTGTGCACCACCGACATGGGAGATAAAGCACACGGGCTCATCTAAGTGGGTGTTGAGTGGGTGTATATGAACTTATGGAGGATGTATGTTGTGTGTTAATGTATTGAAAGGAAGTAGCGAGCGGTGGCTACATGTACTGAATACATCAGCTATGATCCTCTACTTTGTTTGTTTATTTCTAGAAAGGAAAGAGAATACAGAATATGTACATCAGTTGGAATAAACAATACAAGTTTATTTAATTCTGTTTCTGTTTACTTTAGCTATTCCTTATGCGTAACTGCAGGAGTTGTGCAACGAAAAGGGAGAGATTTTCTGATCATTAGCGATGAACAAAATGTGAGTTTACCCCCTTTCACAACATTCTCTAAACACCACACTGCATTCTAAACATGAACTGAGGAAAGCGAAAAAAAGCATATTCATCTTAGTCATACATGTTCATACAACAAATGTGAACGCTGGTGTATTATTACCACTAGCTTCCAGCGGCTCGCCCAAAGGGAAACTATAAAAACTGCGATGACATAACGCTTTACGGTCTTCCTTACACAAAGCCCGGAGGAAGAGTCAAATATTACAATGATGCTTTCTCTCCATTCATTTAACATTTAAATCCAATATTTCAGCCGACGCTGCTGTACTCCTTTGTTCTGCTGAGCAAACTCTACAAATGAAAACTATCCATATATTGCATCACTAATAACCACGACTGACATATAAATAAAAGATTCAACTTCTACATATACCCTGTGGAGCTTTTTACTCACAAGCACAAATTTTTTGATGAATGTTACCATGTTTTATTCACGCTCGTTTTCTGCACGGACACAAGCCGGGAAACGCGATGACGTGCCTGAGCAGGTCAAACATGCCAATGAGCAGTGCACGGCAGCCATACAGCACAGGTTGCATAATGAACATTAAACGGGTCTCTTGATTTCAAATGATCCCACTGATCACAGAACACTATGATCGCTATGACTCAAGAGTGCGCAGAATGTACTGTGTGACAAACACAAAACCTCCACAAAAAACCAACAGCACATCTGGTGTCAAAACTGTGGCCAGAGCTTGAAAGCCAATAACTCTCAGGACTAATTCATCCGGACACTGTGACGACGGGACAAATGCATGAAAATCAAACTTGTCCCAATGCAATCAGGACGTGTCTACAAATAAAGGTCCCTTCTTTTCTCTCTCTCGCTCTCTCGCTCTCTCTCTTTCTCTCTCTCTCTCTGTCTCTCTCCCTCGCCGTAATTCTCTCCCACCAATGTTTTATTTTCTGTTTATTTCCTGCACCACATACTGCACCGCCTACTCACATGAGCCACTGGAAATGCTTGTGTTTTCATTTGTGCATCAAGCTCATCAAATGAGACATGTGTCTTGTTGCTCTGAGGTGTCCTTTCCTGCTGTGGCATCACCTGACAGTCATCACAGGTAGTATTCCAAAGCGTGACTGTGGGGTGGCTATTTCTAGCCCCAGTGGTCCACCATTGTGTTTCTTTTCTCTGTGTAGAGTATTTCCTCCTACATATTTGTTGAAAGCGGTCATTTTCCATGATGCATCCCTCCCACTCTCTCCTTCCCTCGGTGTATCTCTCTCTCTCTCTCTTTCACACACACACTCAACACAAAAAACAACCCTGTTGGTGCCTCACATCCATCTCTCCATCTTGCGCCGCAGAAAACCGACTGGGCAAGCTTTCTCAACCCCCCTCCACCCCCCCACCGCCCCCTCCTCCTCTACTTGCTGCCCTCCTTCATGTGAGCCTGCAGTGATCTGCTGGATATTCCCTTAATCTATGGCTCTTACATAATCTGCAGCAACATCGTTCACAGAGCCACTGGCTGTCTCCTCGTGTCACTCTGTGGGTATCAGCCGGGTACAGGGCCGACTGGAAGACTGGCACAGAGGGATGGGTTGATGATAGACGTGCTATAGATGGACGGATGGATGGACAGGACATCGTAGAGAGGGGTGACTGAATTGATTGGACGTCAAGGGGCATAAATTGCTGCAGATTACGCGTCTGTGTTATATGGAGGCCCGTGTGAGGGTTTGAGTGCGCGCTGCAGATTATGCGTGGCCGTGCGTTGTGAGGACGAGCGTGGATAAAGTGGTGCCTCAGCGTGTATATTTGCACTGCACAATCAGGGGGAAAGTGAGAGGGAAAAGGCTCGAGAGCGATGGTCAAGAGGTCAGAGGTGTGTGTGTGTGTGTGTGTGTGTGCATATAACAGAGAGCGGAAGAGACAGTGTGTCGGGAATAAAGGGTTCAAATGAAGAGCACCACAGGGGGCTGGAGAGGAGGGATAATGTTACATGTTGGTGCACTTTTTGTCTGTGCGTTTTGAAAGGAAAGAAGGATGAAGGTATCGATTAGATGGAGGAGTATATGAGTTGGTCGCTGACGGGGCCGAGGATTAAAAAGAGAGACTGTACACAGTACAGCGTGCATTCCAAGAAAGCAGGTCAAGAAGTAGAAATTCTACATGAGTGATATAAAGATATAATAAACCATCTAAATCTGTCATCAAGCCTCTTTTCATGCACCTCTCTTAAGTAATCACTGGGACGAATGTGGACGCGAAACCACTGAACCAATCCTAGAGAAGAGGGCAAGGATGAAACAAATCACGCAGCAACAATCTCGACAGAGACGTTCAACTGGTGGAATGACTGCAAAGATTGTACAAATGATGTATGAAATGTCCTCGGTGTGTCCAGAATTTAAAGATGCAATTAAATCTAATCATATTCTTTAATGTTCACTGTTCATATTGATTCACCAGTGTTTATTATGTTCAGAATTGCTTTCTTTTTCTCAATCTACTTTTAATTTGATGTGCCTTTGCGACACAGCTTTGTTTACATGCAATGCCAATAAATCCAGATTGAATTGGAAAGGGAGGAGAACAATGAAATTGTATGAACTGAAATATCTGAGAATGAATTTAGATCCAGGGAGAGACGAACAGAGTGAGATGGGCAGGAGGAGAAATAGAGGCATGTTTATCAAGAGACAACAACTGAGAACCAGAAAAAGAAAAGGCAAAGAAAAGGCAGGAGGAAAACCAGACGTATAGAGCCATGGTAGTGATTCATGCGAGAATCCAGAATAGAATAGAATATTCAGTACCGCAGGCTATACTGGCATTATTTTCCCTCATTTGGGTTTACGTCTAGCCCACTACCGTGGAAATCACACCCAATCTCTGCGTTATCAGTCTGTCCAACCGGAAGAATGTTTCATAAGCATGTTGTTGGCGGAATCTGTGTACCGTTTGACTACAGAGCAAACCCTAACTGCTTTTAGCTGGTGCAACAATTTCCGAAAATGTACACAAATATATTTACAGTTTACCTGCAGGATATGGCTAATCCACATTTAATAAAAAAAAATGTGCCTGGTCAATTTGGATAAAAAAATGTTGCTGTGCAAAGCGACAGTCGATGCTAAAATAAACTATTTTCTGCAGGTGCTTCACTAACTCTTAGAGTCATAGATATGTACATAAAAGTATTGGCAGTCAGCAAACGTTGCTAAAATTGGACATGTAGTTTAAAAAAAAATTCTAAATGTTGTTCTTAAACATTACATAGCCAAACTACATTCCCTTGGTCCAATATAGGAGAAAGTAGCTGAAAAGAAGTACTGACATTTCAACCGCAAACTCTCAGCACATTCAGTTAGAAGCCAAGTGGCGAATTGTGTTATTTAGCAGTTTAGATGTGTGATAAAAAAATCCAGAAGTGCGGCGGAGCCAGTGGAGTGGTTGGATGAAGAGATGTAGAGGCATGTAATGAGGCCAAGTGAAGCCCTTTTCATTTCCTGTAAGTGCAGCATCAGCTGTGATCATCATTTATCACAGAAACTCTGAGCAATTTGTAAGGTCTCAACACATCACCATTAATCCCACCTCTGCATGTAATCTACATTTATAACACGGAACAAATAGTGAAACAACCCTGTGAAACAGAAAATAATTATCTTAATTAGTTCAATGAAGCATAGGATTCAAATGTAGTGTTCCATTCAGGAATTGCTTTCGCCAAATTTCATTTGATGCACCTACCGTTAAACTCACATGTCCGGTAATATATTTATAATCTTCATCCCCAGACAGGATGAAACACGGCCAATATCTACTCACATAAAAAAAAAGAAAAGATCAAGACTCACTTCCTGACAGAATCTCTCTCGTGGGTCAGCTGAGGCGATCTGACTAAACAATTCAGCCTACTTTATCAGCTTCATCAGTCGGGCGTGTCCCCATCCCACACTTCAAAAGGTCGCTTGAGATTTTAAAATCGAGGTAAAAGGCTCAGTATGGCTATTGGCGGTTGATTTCATGACACAGGGAATGGATATTATGTAACACTTGCATTTTAACAACAACATATTCTGAAGTCCTGTTTGTTTGCCTTCCCATTTGCACAGGCATAAACTCCAGCCGGGACCAATTAGTGGATTCATGCAAACTAGGACTGTCAACTCAAACGCATTAATCAATGCGATTAATGTGGCCGAATTCATGCAGCAAAATATTTTAACGTAGTTAACATTCGTTTGTTAACCGGAAGTTGAGCGCGGAAACTAAATGGCCGCTAGCTGCAGTCAGTTACATCAAGATGGAGAGAATTTTTTGCATCGGATGTACCTTGTGCAGAGGAATTACTCCACGGGTCAAACAGAGGAGGGGTAAGTGGAACACAGACCACTTAAAGCACCGCTATGTTAAGCTAGCTGCTAGGCTACTTCCATCTCAACATCTAACGTTACTCTGAGCAGCACACAGTCTGCAGAGGACCACCACCGTATCCCTAAAAGACCATGGTTTGAAAACGTTCTGGCTAAATGTGGGGAGATTGTTGGCACTTTAAACACAGACGTTAAAGGATGGCGACAGCAGGAAGAGTCACTAGTTGTCAACATGTTCAAGTTCCACCCGGTGAAATTCTGTCTCCAAGATGCTCAAATGTGAGGAGTTTTGTGTTTAAAATAACATTAACAATTAAACAACAACAGGGTCTAAAATACACACTTTCTAAAGTGATTACTCAAAACAAACATTCACTAAAAACAACATTTTAAAAACAACAACAAAATTCATTAATCGCCATTAATCGGCATTAATACATTTCAAAATGTGCGATTAATTACTTTTTTTAATTTGTATTTATTGACAGCCCTAATGCAAACACAGCGAGCATGAAACATTCGAAAGACTCACCGAGGAAATGTCTCCGTCGATCCCCGTGGCCGCAGCCGGTTGCGCAGCTGCAGCCGCCTCCTGAGCCGCCTTGGTGGCCGCCGCTTTCTTCAGTTCCCTGTTGGCCTGCAGGGTGGAGAAGTAGTTGACGGCCGCAAACTCGATCAGCGCGGAGAAAACGAAGGCAAAGCAAACGGCGATGAACCAGTCCATGGCCGTGGCGTAAGAAACTTTGGGGAGGGAGTGGCGGGCACTGATGCTGAGTGTTGTCATGGTCAAGACCGTGGTGATACCTGGAGACAGAAGTTATGAGTGCACTGTTTAAGTCACATGGTACTTGGGTCATGGGCCTGTCCATTCGTATGTTTACTCACAGAGTTTAGTGAGGCAGTATGCTAGCTTAGAATACATGTTTCTTGTATAATATGGTATATTTTGTTTTAATCCTAAGGGCGATTTCTTTTTCTCGTTCGCTGACCCCTCTCTAATGGAAAAAAAATGAACACATGGATGTCAGTGGTTAGTTACCATGAACCGTACCATGTTGCAAATAGACATGTTTCAGAATTATGAAGCAAGTTGAAGAACAATAAAAAAAATGTGTTTATGACGTTGATGTAACGTCATAAATGTATGTCATTGACGTATGACGACATTTACGTTTCAATTTCTGGCCATGCAGATGCCTGCTTAAGAGATACCATTGCAATCAGCATCTTTTCGACGGACACATAAACACTTGCACGCAAATGTAATGTTATAAACAAGTTATATACGTAGCCAAGTAGCCAAGTAGTAAGCAGCCACTATTCAACTTGTGATTTTCCGACAAAGCGTCTTTAACCTAAAAATCAATACATCATATCCGATCTGCTCAAGGAAGTTTTTTATCTTTTAAGTCACAAACAGAACTGCAGTATTTTTTCTTTCTGCGTAAGATATACCATCTGGACAACAAGGCCTGTGATCACTTCAGCAACGCCGAGATAATAGAAGCTGAATCCTCTGTTGTTTCAGGATTGATTAGACCAAATAACTGCAGGATGATACAAAGCTACTTTGTGAGTGAGATCATTAACACGCGGTTTGAAACGCTATCACCACTATGATTTGGGGATTTTCTGAAGACCCAGTTTGTGAAAGAAAATGTACAAGATGAACAAGTATAAAAAATGACTTATTAGTGCTAGTTACACTCTGCTTCAATATGGACTAAATTTGTGTTTGAATGTCCACTTATGTCTAAAAACGGTGGCATGAAGCTGAAGCTTTGGATTGAGTAATTTATAATTATTTAAATTGTCCAAATATTCTATAAATCAAGAAGAATTCTTACTCAACCTTTAAACATACATGCAAACTATGAAAATCTGTGTTGTGTTGTGTGAATAGATGTAAAGTGATTTTCAAAAAAAGACTATTGTCTCAAAGATTATCTTTGAAAAGGGGCATAAACTGTTTGATGCCATTGAGCTAGAATGTCAGGCTCAACCAGCTTTGCCAAAAAGTCACTTCAGTTGAAGATAATCTCTCCATAAACAGACTAACTTGTGCCCCTGCACGAGGAAACAAAACCAAATGTATCTGTAAACATTCCCAAAGAAATCCATTTCGTTACCATTGATTCAATGACCCGCACACAAAGCCTTTACTAATATCTGTTTAACTGCTAGTTGCTATTAACTGAAGCCACAGGTCTTATGGGAAGGACAACAGACTGAACTACGGATGTGGGAAGAAGGGAAAATACATGAATCAACTGATAAGCAACATTTGTTTTTGATTTCTTTCTTTCTTATTTAAATAAATAGTGCTGTTTTCAGGCACGTTGAAAGTTCTGGCTATTACTCAGAGTACAAAGATCCTTTGAGCACTATTCAATAAAGAAAAATCATTTAACTACCTTAAATACACGGTGGTTTAAAATGAACACAAGATCCATTGCAGGTGCATTTTAAAGGAACTTTTAAAGTGTCAAACTATTAAAAAACACCTACGGAAACAACTCTTAATCCTTAGGAAAGAGATTTTCTTGCATCTTGGCCGGATTCTAACCTCATTAAGTAAGAAGATGCAGATATTGAACCCCTCTTTCAATGACACATTAGCAAAGTCCATTTCTAATTCATTCTCACCAAGCAATAGGAAGCAGAGAAAAGGGGCCATTGAATACTGCAGCCCGGGCTTTTAGCGAACGTGCACTGTGGTCAAATTTGCAGCGTAGGAACTTATGTGGAATTTAATGCAACTCTTAATGTCTTAAAAGCATGTTCGACACAACACTTGTGAGAAGTGAGAGCTAAAGTTCTCAAATACAACTTCCTCCAATAGCCAGCCAACGGCGACTGTCCCATGCTCAAGCACAAGCTGAATGGCTGCTAAGGCGATGGGGAGGGGGCAAGAAGGCCTTTATGGTTACGGGCGAGAGGCAAAAGAAAGATGATGGAAGAAAGGAGTAGGAGGGAGGGGGACGAAGTATCAAAACAGTATAGAAATGAAACGCTGGGGGCATTTATGTGCCTTTACATGAAAAAAAAAGCAAGGTACAAATTAGGCCACACTCAATTAAGTCTGTGAGACCTGCGCTCGAGGGACTTTCAGCTCTTAGAGAGGTTGTTGGCGTACGATGAGTTAATGTTCTGTCAGGGTGGAGCGCATGCATACACCAGTTTGCCTTCTCTTTTCCATCACACGCGCACCATTGGGAGTGTGAAGCAAACTTAATCGGATAATGGCTCTTTTTAGCATTTTGATAAATGAGAGAGAGAGAGAAATGAGACATTGTCCCTAAAGGCCTTTAATGGAAGGAAGGATCCAAGGAAGTTTGGATCTGTGAATATCCAATAGGTGGATTTTTGCAAAACAACTTTGCTAAACAGCCAGCGTTGCCCGTGGTTGGCCCAAAGATCCTTTCTAACAACAACAAGTCCAGACAATAAATGTTTTTCTCCTATATTTTCCCAATATTAAGTGAAACAAAAAACAGCAAAACGAGCAAGGTTTAAGGAGTTGCCACAGACTTTCATGCCAACACTAATGGTTGGGATCCATCGTCTGTAAAAGCATCCATGCTTGTTAAAGCGCCGGCTCGCTTGCCAAAACAAGCACAAGCTATAGATCCATGATATGCAAGGTCCAGCAAAGATGAAAATGAAAAAAAACACGGGTCAAATGATTAAAAAAGAGAGGAACTTCCAACACTTCCCACGCCATGTTTTTACGCGTACTTTTGTCCCTGTCTCTTTGCCTCTCATTTCTTTCGGTCTCATTCTCTCTTCAGTGTGTCTCTCTGCTCCTGAGGCGAGCGCTCGGTGGCAACTGTAGCGTGATCTAACGTGACCAAGTGGAACCTGTGAGTGCTCCGGAGAGGGCCGAGCAAACATCCTCTCGCTCACTGCCCTGCATGACCAGTTTAAAAAAAGGGATATTTATTCCCAATTAATTCAGCTCCACCACAGTGGCAGAGGAATAGAGATGATTAAGAAAGGTTAGAATGGCGATGGAGGATCTGTAAGCAAGTGGCACAGCATTGGAGATGTCTTGTCCACTCAGGTAAGTGGTGTGATTTACATTTTAGAAAACACTGTACTCCTCTTAGGAAAAATAACAAGTGAGACGGCTACCGAGAGAACAGTATTATTTGCAATTCATAGAGTCTTGGCAGCCAAAATGACAAAGCAGGAAAACAATGAGCAACAGAATTGATTTCCCCTTTTCTTTGAAAACGGGCTTGAAACTTTAGCTGGAATTTGTTTTCGGCATTTGAGTAAATTCAACGAAATCTTACCAAACACCGTCCTCGCTGGAACTGATTCTTTATTAATCCAGAAAGAGACTTGGGCCAGGATGACGGTCATGATACAGGGAATATACGTCTGAATCAGGAAGAAGCCCATTTTCCTCTGCAGGTGGAAGTGGACCGTCATGATGACATATTCACCTGAGGGTAAACACCAAACATTTGTATTGCTATTGGTGTCATATCCCTGATTCATCAACACAACACTTGTACTTTTAATATTTTGATTAACATATATATATTTTTTTAACATTAAATATCTGGTAATGTATAATAGAGGATACTTATCCCAGAGATACAAAAACACATCACACATCACATAAAATAAACCAATAACTGAGAAATGGTTTTATATCAATATAATTAGATACTGCACGTTGCAAAGCACAATCTCTCCTCACCTGTGTTGGACTTTAGTCTCTCACTTGACACCGTCTGACCGATGAGGTCGTACTGCAACAGACTGGACGATTCCTGTGGCACCTCCACAGAGGACTGGGGACCTTTCTTCCAAGTGTACACGATCTCGCTCATGGGGTAAGCATCTGCATGGGATGGGTGACAACGTTTGATCAAAATAACAACAACCATCTAAAGATTTCATTTATTTCCATTTTGTTTTTTTAGATCATTTGGGACACAAAGCACAAAAAAGACTTTGACACTCTGAAAGGGTTAACTGACAAAGAGACAAATATGTTACTGGCTATGAAACCAGAGGTGATTATTTCAAACGTTAAATTACAATAACTAAAATAGATAAAGCAAGTGAAAGAAATAAAACAAGCAACACTGAAAAATAGTTTAATACAACAAAGATTGCTGGGTTTTATCTTCAAAGTTTCCCAAAGGTAGTTGAGACGAGTAAAACTGACATAATAATTGGTGACTTAACAAAAACAAACTCACAACTCCCGAACTTGAGCGGACAGGCATGGCCATCCATGGGGAAGTTCATCAGGCGCATGGGACACTCTGCATTTATGGTTAATCTGTCAGAATAGAGAAGAATTGAAATGAGTGTTTCATATATATATAAAAAAAATAGAAATGTCAAATAATTCAACTGAGCCTTTTGCAAGGAAAAATCAAAACACAATTAAATAAAAAAATATATAAAAGAAAAAGATCACTGAACTTTTTCAGTGAGTATTTAAAGTAAAGTTAATCCATTTAAATCATCTAAATTTGGGCTGTCTGTAACTTAGAGGGATTACTGTTTTTCATGCTATATTGGAACGCAGCCGGAGTCATGTTTGTTTGAGTCGCTTTCCAAGCCTGTTTTTCAATATCAGATGGCACACATCTAGTTTTTTTTGGAATGGCACTCTACGTTTTCTTTTTTATGTCTGTGCATATTCTTGGATGCTTGTTTTGTTTGATTTGCCTTCCAGGCTTGCGCTCTATTCCGGTCTTGGCTTGGCTTGGAGCTCACCGTCCAGCACTGTTACCTCATGGTGTAGAGGATAGTTCCGTTCTGCATGATGCGGAACAGCTTGTTGGGGGTGGTCATGTTGTGAGAGATCGACCTCTTGCCATTCCGGAAAAAGGTGTCCGGCGTCCAGATCTTGCTGACCATCAGGTTGTTGAGCCGCAGGATCTCGATAGGGCCCTCGAATTTCAGCCGCTCGTCAATCCAGGTCTGGCGGAAGAAGACGTCCATGGTGTATTCCTGGATGGACGTTGGAATGTGGGTTAAGGATTTATTTACAGCCACAGCTACTACTACTACCAGTCCCACTGCTGGTGCTGATTCTGCTCCTGCCGCTACTACGTCCTCCAGCCCACGGAGAGAGAGCGGCAGATGGGTTTGTGAGCCGTTTTTTTTTTTTAAAGACCTTTGATGTAGACCTTTGATTCTCTGTTTCTGGACCATTATTATTTTGCTGCCATTGCAAACAGAGTAAAAACAAAGGTTTTTTATTAAAATATTCTACTATGAAGACCTTCATCTTTTGTTGTTTCTTTTTTAGGGGAGTTTTAGACATACGGTCATCTTTTTCGCAAAATTGATGATTTTTCTTCATCAGACACATAAATTACTTCAATGCAACTCAAACAGACCCACTAAAACATAGTTTGTAACATATTTGTTTGATCATATTATCTCCCATTAATAAAAAATCAAGTACGTTTGTTGTGTATTTGATGATGCAATCATTGAACACTGAAACAGTTTAATCCATCTGTAGCCAGCAGCAGATCTGTGATGACTTAAGATCAAAAGGACGGCCGTGCTGCTGCGAAGAGCCTTTTACATGCGTCTTTCTAGAGCTGCTACTAGTCTATCACATGGCAGTTCAAGTGGGCTTTAGATACAGTGAAAGCTAAAGCACTACTTCAGACCGACAGCGCTCAGCCTATCCCATGACACATAAAGAAAACCTCGTCCCAACATCAGCCACATATCTCTCTCGTCCTCTCTCTCTCTCTCTCCCTCCCTGACGGGAGGATTGTCAACCAGATTAAAATCCTAAGCCGCACTAATGACGTCCTGCCCAAATGCTGGAATAATGAAGGCTGGGAGAGCCATGACGAGATGCTGCATTCACAGAGATACAGGGAAAACTGCACGTATTGTCTTTGGTATTCACACACGTGGGCTGACTTTGGTAATGAGTGACGAGAACTGATGCGTGTGTATGTGAATCAGCTTCAGCATGGTTTACATACCATCTCAACATCTGAAACAGGTCCAAAGCTGGTGACAAAGATGTCAGTTTTGACCTCTGTAACTGGACCTACAGCAGGAGGATAAGTAGTTGCTTTGACACACACAATAACAAAATATTTGGTAGAGACCATTTTTTAAACACAGAGCAGTGAAAAAAAAGCTATATTCTAATATATATTCAAAGACAAAATGAACACTGGAAATCCAAAAGGAACATGCAATTGAGTTTAGCTGATTTGCAAACACTTTGCAGTTGTTAGTAGTGTTATACGTATTTACAAGAGATTAAACTGTACAATTGAACCTTTACAGCACGAATAGAGTATAAAAAATCTGCACACACACACACACACACACACAGCTCCTGGAGTAAAAGTTTATCTTCTGAGAAAAGACACATGATCCAATAAAGACAGACAATATCGAATAAAAGAGAACATGTCACGGTCATTAGCGTGCATACCTCCAAATCCAGGTCGCAGCCTGTTGTCGTAGCCATCCAGTAATCTATCCAATATGCGCGTGATGTTGTCCAAATAGATGCTGGTATCGCCGTTCTGATTTCCCCAAACACCGCTTACACTGTAACTAAAGTAGATATGCACGAATGAGATGCATTCTAACAGATTACTACACGATTGAAAATGCATCTCACATGCACACAAATCCACGGTACACCCGTGCGTAAAAGTCGGACAACACGCCGAGGAAAGAGTTGCCATACTCACCAAGACAGACATAAGCAAGTTAAAAGGAAAGCCATCCCTCGCAAACACCCCACAACTAGAAATCCCTGGTCAACTTTTAAAATCAGCATCTCCCATCATTTAAAAGCATGATTAAACGCGCGTCGGATCTTCTTTTAGTTGCGAACCGTGCGAGGATATATCGCGCCAGTCTGGCACGACTTGACTTCCCCTCCAGTGCGGTTGCGCCCGCCTCGGAATCGCTCAGTTAGACCAAACCTGAAGAGTTTTTGAGAGAGTGAAGAGGAAGGGGGGGGCGGGGGGCATTAACGGAGCTCTTAAAAAGACTCCTTACAAGACTCCCCCACGCTCCCAAAAGCAACTTGTATATTTAAAACATGCGTCTGTTTGATGGAGATGATGACGGTTATTTATTCATTAAATAAGGATGTTGAGTGGAGGCGATGGCGAGGATAAAAAAAACAGAAAACAGAGCGGCTGCGTGGAGAAGTGCACTAATACTATCCGATCAATAGACGGCACGCCGGTGACCTTTTGAGTGCAGAACCATTTTAAAATGATATCATTTTTGCGGCTGGCTTCTTTGTGTGCGCGCGTGTCTGCGTGTGGCGTGTGCGCGCGTGCTCATGAGCGTGAGCGTGTGCGATGCTTGCCTATAGAAAGATGGCAAATTGCTACTAGGGGTAAAGCACGATGACCTGTGATTCATATAGTGGTTGAGTGGAGTAGGTGGTAGATGCATTTAGTGCAACTTCAAACTCACACTGTCCATAGACGGAGCGCGCGCACACACACACACACACACACACACACACACACACCTATTCCCACAACGCTGAGTTCATATCTTTTGCAAAAACAAAATTCATTTTCACATTGACCCAGTAAAGTTGATCTCTCAGCAGCGGCTCACTCGGCAGCGTGCACAACCATCAAGTGGTTATGTCAAAGGTCACAATGAAGATGCCTCCCAAAAGGCTTTTGGGAGGCATCTTTCCGAGGGATTTCGTCGTTTGCCGACTAACGTTCCGATTTAAAGACATGCACTGCACACTGCGAGCCTTAACTTTCCCAGACTCTATAATTGAAAACATGGTTCCATCTCCACCAAATATGTTCACTAAATTGTGTCCCGATTGGTCAATAGGCAAGCATAGATTTATTCTCCACAGCATTACTTTTTCATTATAGCTGTCAATAATTAATGTGAGAGAGAGAAATAAAGGATAATCTTCTGACAGCATTCAAATGTGGAACATAATCCTTTAACTCTGGTCTGGTTCTACTCAAAACACAAGTTATATAACGATCTCAAAATGATGATTTAAATGATATGTATAAAACAACAAAGGACTTTCACATCGAACGCAAGCATCAAAAGGGTATAAATAACCGCATGAACAGAAAAATCATGGTTAATACTATTTAGCTATTTAGCCCTAAATACTAAAGCTCGAAGAGTCACAACAATTCACATGCACTTCCCATGAATTGAGTTTCTTGATGCTGGTGTGTTGGTGAGATACATACTTATCCCTAATGGATGTACTGGAAGATCAAACCAAAGAACTTTAGATGTTTGTTTTTTCTTTCTCGGGATCCACGGCAGCCGACCAAGAGTTAAAGCAACAGAAGAAGTAGGAGTGGTGGTATGGGCTGAATAGCCGTAGGAATAGTAGTAAAGGTGGACATAGAGGTATCAGTGTCATCAAGTAGCAGCAGCAGTATTCAGCAGCGGCACATTGGCAATTGAGACAAATTTATATAATTTGTGAACAAATGAAGATTCCCGTTGCCCGGCTGGTAGACAAAGTAATCTGACCATAATGTCGGGATCAACTTATCTACCATGAGGTCAGCTCGTCTGACCATGACGGACGCCTGACCTGATTCACTCTGCCGGCGACAGACGGGCTCCTGCATGACTCGGGACGAAAACTATCTCTCTCCCCGATTGGTGTAAACGTCTCACGCAGCGTTCAACGACTTCTCACATCACGGTCAGTCAGAGACCCATTTATGTGGCGTTCATGTTCACATAACACAGACAGGAGCCATTACTCTTTAATCCCCCCTCCATGGATTGTACGTATCACGCACTGGGAACACCCGTGCAGTCATTATTAATCTCTGCTTTTCAAGCTTGTCACATGCACCATCCAATTCAATCTCCATGAAGCCGTATTGTTCTTTATTAGAGACGTCTGCTGTGGCCGAAATGGGGATTCTTTGTGAGCACCCACATGCGTGTGTGGGTTCCTGCATGCAGCAGTGTCATTCTTGTCCGTTTGGTACAGTGATTACAATCCAAGCTTGTTGGCTGGGTGATTGTCTGACTGACTGACTGGATAAATGGCCTGTTTGTAGAATGGTGTCCTGCGTAGCCGGATGCATATTCTGAAGGGCGGCATGAGTGACTGACTTATAGACAGCTATTAAAATGTGACGCCTGTCTTCCTGACCGGATCACTGTCTTCCTGGATACCAAGCCTTGAAGTAAATGCTCTGTCAGGCACGCAGCCAAACATAAGTACTCCGGAGAGCAGGGAGGCAGATGGTTGGACTGGATACAATGGGCGCTGTGCAAAAGCACATCATTGCATATAACAGATATTAGTCCTACTTACGGAAAGTCAATATAGGCTCAGGTGAATCCTTTCACCTGTCTTATTGATTACCCCGTTAAAGCCGACATCTCCTGACATCTCATTCTCTATTCGATTTAGCCGAAATCGTGCATCCGTGTACCTCGCCATTACTTTTTAAAGTGCGTGTCATTGGGACAATGTTAAATAATAGACCCTAATGTCTTATAGACAATATTTCTACAAAACATAATCAGTGAACCATTATTAAACTTTAGTCTGAATTGAGATGAAGGCTCAGTGATTATAATGGATTGTAAATGCGTATGCTTCATCCCTTTAGAACAATACACCTCATGCGCGAGACTGGGTGGCAATTCAATTATGTCAGTTTAGGAAGTGCAATTACTTTGGGAAGATAAGGGGACATACTTCGAAATCCAATGTGTTTCGAAGAAGAAGAAAAAACCCCTTCAGTAGGAGTTTGTTAATTAGTTCATTATTCAGCTAAATAGGATTTAATTAAACATGTCATGATATGTACTGCGTATTTGATTCCCAATAACACGCAGCTTGGTGCAGAGCTAGCAGATTATCACAATAAACTTCCAAAAACTTGCTGACCTTTTGCAGGAAGAGCTCTGAGACGGCAGAACTAGAAATGGGAGCTTTTGTCAAGCTTTTGTCAAGCTTTTCTCTCAGCGCGAGTCCTAGAATCGGTCTGTGGAGAGACAGAGACTGACGTACACAAAGGCATGCTGGGAGGGCGATTAAATAATAAAGAGCTGCAGAAAAAAGAAGGAAGTCAAGTACAAGTAGAATGTTGCTCACATTACATCTCACCAGCTACAGCACTGCTTGTTATTGCCCCAAAATTTGATTGTCTAAACTCGTTCCTGGCCGCACCACAGTGCTTCTATAAATACACGATAGCTCCCACGTGAGAGGGACTCACTGTACTTCATGAGCCTCGCCATGTGGTATCTATGGTAACCACTTACAGTAGAGGAAGCTCAGCCTGTGTGGTGAAATGTCTGTCTGTGTGTGTGCGTGTTTCTGTGTACTTCTGGAATATTAAGAACTGAATGTCTTCACAGAAATAGAAAGGTGAGGCATTTCTGGTCCTTCGTTCCATCTGAAATTGACTCGGGTGGGCCGCAGGGTCGGGCTAAAGTTAAGAAATAACTTCAAGCAAGTGAGCGAGCTGAGGTTCATTCAGCGTGTGGTGGTCAAAAAGGCTGAACTAAGACTTGTATTCAGAAATGTTTTTGGTGAAAAGGGTCAGATAGTGTTAGAAAGTGGAGGCAGAAAGTTGAGCATGAGTGTGGAATATTTTGGAGATGAAGATTCACAATTAAACGTGTGTGTGTGTTAAACGTTATCTGTTTGGTAGTACGTCCATGAACATGCAGCTCAAAGTGCCTCTTCACCAGTGAATTTGTGGCTGAAGTTCTTTAAAGTCATTGGATTGAAAACTTTGTGACTGTGTGTTGTCTTTTTCTCTTCCCCACAGACAGACGCACACACACAGACACACACACAACACTGAACACAAACAGTCGTCCTCAGACACGATGTGCTGCATCACCTCCAGTGGATTTTACTGTTGGGAAAAGAGTGAAATAATTCCAGTGCAGTTTCCATGGAAACCAAACCATATCATAGAAAGATGAATGTTGATTTGGTAAAAAAAAACACTGTCCTCACCGCCTGGGTTGACCTTTCCACTGACTGCAGCCAAAATCTTGACAACGAACCGCTCTGGACAACTGCCAAGAGCCTCCAGTACAGAGAGAGGGAGTGAAGGCTGTGAAACACAGAGAAAATAAATATTAATAATAATAGAGCGCAAAAACTTTTACATTTAAAAATAACTTTATTGCCTCGAGTAATGTATAAAGATTTCAAAATAATTCATATCTTCTCCAAATGTCATAGAACTGTAACAATGGTAACAAGCCTATTTATACTTTTTTTCTGTTGCTGAAAATTTGTTTTAGTCCCTAAAATATTAAGCGTAATGACAGAATTCGGGGCGGCACGGTGGCGTGGTGGTTAGCACTGTCGCCTCACAGCAAGAAGGTCTTGGGTTCGATTCCGCCCAGTGGCCTTTCTGTGTGGAGTCTGCATGTTCTCCCTGTGTCTGCGTGGGTTCTCTCCGGGTTCTCCGGCTTCCTCCCACGGTCCAAAGACATGCTCTGGGGATCAGGTTAATTGGGGACTTTAAATTGCCCGTAGTTGTGTGAATGTGAGTGTGCATGGTTGTGTGTCTCTGTGTTGCCCTGCGATTGGCTGGCGACCAATCCAGGGTGTACCCTGTCTATCGCCCGAAGTTGGCTGGGATGGACTCCAGCCCCCCCGCGACCCTGTGTGCAGGATAAGCGGTTTGACAATGGATGGATGGATGGATGACAGAATTCCTTTTGTGCTGTGAAGACAGTTTATTATTATATTTAATATTATTATTATTCCTGAAAATCACTCACAACACACACACACTTCATGTCAAATAAATAAATGTGTTAATGACTTTATAACTGATGAATATTGCACTCCCCTTCCTCAGTGCTAAAGTCACAACGCTCACATGGATGGTGAAAATGTGATAACAGTAATTCAAACCTCATTTTAGTTAAACAAAGCCTCTTTGAGTGTCAATGACGACCACTGTAGAAACAACACTCTGATGTCTGAAATTCAACCTCAAAGCAAATGAGAGAAACATCAGCACTAACCCCCCCCCCCCCCCATGATGTACATATATCCATCCATCCATCCATCCATCAAGTGTTTTGCCCTTTTCGGCACTCATGAAAAATAAAAAACAAAGCCTGTAGCTGATGCTAAATTTGTACCATGCTTATGATATCATCCCTCAGCAGATGTAAGAACAGAGTTAGTATTCAGTCTCTATGGTTAC